GAACCGAAGTGCCAAATTGCCGAAGTCACGAATTTTGGAAGTGACAAACCAAACCAAATTTTTTTGCCCATGCAGATCCCTAATCTATACACTGATAATGTACACACTGCTCTGTATAATGATTGTGATGGACCACCTGGAACCCCGACCAGTTTCCCGGTAATCCTTGAGTACCATAAGCACCACACCAAACACCATAACCACCGTAAACCCCACAAACCGCTGCAGCTTGGTTGGGGTCTTGCTGTCCTCTACCTACCCTGGACGCAAGACCAGGATGCAGCTTCCAGTGGGTAGACCTCTGCTAGTCCAGAGAGCAAAGCAGGCTGCTCTTACAAGAGCAAGTGTTGTAATCCAAGGATAATATAGTATAGTGATTAAAGCAATACCCAGAGTGAAAATAGCTCTCCAAACCCCCAAACATGAGCCTAGACTTCATGAATGGGTAAAGCGTTCTGTTAAATGGCAGCCACAACTGGCCTTATATGCATGTCCCCATGCTGGTGGTTTCCGGTTACATAGACTACAGCAAAAACATACACATGATTACATTGGCTCTCAGATCCAGGACACTCCCACATAAAACAAGATAATCCCTCAACTGTGCATGGGAGATAATTGAGTCAGGAACTGTACTAAACTCAATTATGACCAGGCACAGAAAACACACATTTTACAACCTCCCAAAAGTGTCCCCAAAACACATGGACACTCCACAAAATTCACATCCCCTGATAGCCCTGATCTGGGGGACCAAAATATTCAAAAATCACTCTGTTCAGGGGTTTGGAATTTCCATGAAAGTCATCATTTTGACCGACCGTGCACATGGTCCTATGCCCGAAACAGTTCCAGGGAATGAGGGCTAACGGTCAGTCACATGGACGGAGCCTTTTAAAGTGCATTGGGCAAGGTATATTGCAGGGCCCATAGTCCTGAGGCAGGAGGCTGGCAAACAGGATCCTCCATGAACTCGTGGTGAGGTTCTGTTATCTATACACTGATAATGAACACACCACTCTGTATAATGATACTGAGTATCTATACACTGATAATGAACACACCACTCTGTATAATGATACTGAGTATCTATAGCCTTATAATGAACACACCGCTCTGTATAATGATACTGAGTATCTATACGCTGATAATGAACACACCACTCTGTATAATAATACTGAGTATCTATACGCTGATAATGAACACACCGCTCTGTATAATGATACTGAGTATCTATACACTGATAATGAACACGCTGCTCTGTATAATAATACTGAGTATCTATACACTGATAATGAACACACCGCTCTGTATAATGATACTGAGTATCTATACACTGATAATGAACACACCGCTCTGTATAATGATACTGAGTATCTATACACTGATAATGAACATACCGCTCTGTATAATGATACTGAGTATCTATACACTGATAATGAACACAGCGCTCTGTATAATAATACTGAGTATCTATACACTGATAATGAACACACCGCTCTGTATAATGATACTGAGTATCTATACACTGATAATGAACACGCTGCTCTGTCTAATGATACTGAGTATCTATACACTGATAATGAACACGCCGCTCTGTATAATGATACTGAGTATCTATACACTGATAATGAACACACCGCTCTGTATATTGATACTGAGTATCTATACACTGATAATGAACACACCACTCTGTATAATGATACTGAGTATCTATACACTGATAATGAACACACCGCTCTGTATAATGATGCTGAGTATCTATACACTGATAATGAACACACAGCTCTGTATAATAATACTGAGTATCCTATACACTGATAATGAACACACCGCTCTGTATAATGATACTGAGTATCTATACACTGATAATGAACACACCGCTCTGTATAATGATCTGAGTATCTATACACTGATAATGAACACACCGCTCTGTATAATGATACTGAGTATCTATACACTGATAATGAACACACCGCTCTGTATAATGATACTGAGTATCTATACACTGATAATGAACACACCGCTCTGTATAATGATACTGAGTATCTATACACTGATAATGAACACACCGCTCTGTATAATGATACTGAGTATCTATACACTGATAATGAACACACAGCTCTGTATAATGATACTGAGTATCTATACACTGATAATGAACACACCGCTCTGTATAATGATACTGAGTATCTATACACTGATAATGAACACACAGCTCTGTATAATGATACTGAGTATCTATACACTGATAATGAACACACCGCTCTGTATAATGATACTGAGTATCTATACACTGATAATGAACACGCCGCTCTGTATAATGATACTGAGTATCTATACACTGATAATGAACACGCCGCTCTGTATAATGATACTGAGTATCTATACGCTGATAATGAACACACCGCTCTGTATAATGATACTGAGTATCTATACACTGATAATGAACACGCCGCTCTGTATAATGATACAGAGTATCTATACACTGATAATGAACACACCGCTCTGTATAATGATACTGAGTATCTATACGCTGATAATGAACACACCGCTCTGTATAATGATACTGAGTATCTATACACTGATAATGAACACACCGCTCTGTATAATGATACTGAGTATCTATAGCCTTATAATGAACACGCAGCTCTGTATAATGATACTGAGTATTTATACACTGATAATGAGCATGCCGCTCTGTATAATGATACTGAGTATCTATACACTGATAATGAACACACCGCTCTGTATAATGATACTGAGTATCTACACACTGATAATGAACACACCGCTCTGTATAATGGAAATGAGTATCTATACATTGATAATGAGCATGCCGCTCTGTATAATGATACTGAGTATCTATACGCTGATAATGAACACACCGCTCTGTATAATGGAACTGAGTATCTATACACTGATAATGAACACGCCGCTCTGTATAATGATACTGAGTATCTATACACTGATAATGAACACACCGCTCTGTATAATGATACTGAGTATCTATACAGTGATAATGAACACGCCACACTGTAGAATGATCTGAGTATCTATACGCTGATAATGAACACGCCGCTCTGTATAATAATACTGAGTATCTATACACTGATAATGAACACACGGCTCTGTATAATAATACTGAGTATCTATACACTGATAATGAACACACTGCTCTGTATAATGATACTGAGTATCTATACACTGATAATGAACACACCGCTCTGTATAATGATACTGAATATCTATACACTGATAATGAACACACCGCTCTGTATAATAATACTGAGTACCTGTTTAATGATACTGAGTATCTATACACTGATAATGAACACACCGCTCTGTATAATGATACTGAGTATCTATACACTGATAATGAACACACCGCTCTGTATAATGATATTGAGTATCTATACACTGATAATGAACACATCGCTCTGCATAATGATACCGAGTATCTACACACTGATAATGAACACACCGCTCTGTATAATGATACCGAGTATCTATACACTGATAATGAACACACCGCTCTGTATAATGATACTGAGTATCTATACACTGATAATGAACACACCGCTCTGTATAATGATACTGAGTATCTATGCGCTGATAATGAACACACCGCTCTATATAATGATACTGAGTATCTATACACTGATAATGAACACACCACTCTGTATAATAATACTGAGTATCTATACGCTGATAATGAACACGCCGCTCTGTATAATGATACTGAGTATCTATACACTGATAATGAACACATCGCTCTGTATAATGATACTGAATATCTATACACTGATAATGAACACACCGCTCTGTATAATAATACTGAGTATCTATACGCTGATAATGAACACCCCGCTCTGTTTAATGATCCTGAGTATCTATACACTGATAATGAACACACCGCTCTGTATAATGATGCTGAGTATCTATACACTGATAATGAACACACCGCTCTGTATAATGATACTGAGTATCTATACACTGATAATGAACACACCGCTCTGTATAATGATACTGAGTATCTATACACTGATAATGAACACAGCGCTCTGTATAATGATACTGAGTATCTATACACTGATAATGAACACGCCGGTCTGTATAATGATACTGAATATCTATACACTGATAATGAACACAGCGCTCTGTACAATAATACTGAGTATCTATACACTGATAATGAACACGCCGCTCTGTATAATGATACTGAGTATCTATACACTAATAATGAACACAACGCTCTGTACAATAATACTGAGTATCTATACACTGATAATGAACACACCACTCGGTATAATGATACTGAGTATCTATACACTAATAATGAACACAACGCTCTGTACAATAATACTGAGTATCTATACACTGATAATGAACACACCGCTCGGTATAATGATACTGAGTATCTATACACTAATAATGAACACAACGCTCTGTACAATAATACTGAGTATCTATACACTGATAATGAACACGCCGCTCTGTATAATGATACTGAGTATCTATACACTAATAATGAACACAACGCTCTGTATAATAATACTGAGTATCTATACACTGATAATGAACACACCGCTCTGTATAATAATACTGAGTATCTAAACACTGATAATGAGCACAGCGCTCTGTATAATGATACTGAGTATCTATACACTGATAATAAACACACCGCTCTGTATAATGATACTGAGTATCTATACACTGATAATGAACACACCGCTCGGTATAACGATACTGAGTATCTATACACTAATAATGAACACAACGCTCTGTACAATAATACCGAGTATCTATACACTGATAATGAACATGAATGGTATGTGAGGTGTCAGCCAGGGAGCTCACTATCACTGTGTATATTTCATCATTCAGCTCTGAGCCATCACACAGTGTTAGCAGCACGGACCTTCTAGAGGGGAGGTGAGGGCAGGAGGTATGGAAGGTAGATCACACCTTCATTGATATAAACGCTCCTCCCAATTCAGCACTGACATCTCAGAATAGCTTCAGGGGAGAGAGGAGTTTAGAAGAGACAGCCACAGGAGTTTTACAGGACGGTCAGCAGAGGAGTGAGGGAAAGCAGCCAGATACATTCTACTGAGGAGATAGAGAGGAATTTCATATATGGGCAGGTGAAGAATTATCTGAGACAGACAGACAGACACTAAAGAAGGATCAGTAAGGAAAGCAAGCAGACAGAGGGCGAAGTGTGTCAGAGAGAGGTGAAGCGTGGCACAGACTGTCACAGAACAGCTGAGATTAGGAACAGAAAGAAAGCTGGCAGAAGACAATCGAATAAAGGTGGCACACAGAGTGTCTGGGTATGGACACAAAGTCGGATTAGTGAAAGAGGAAGACAAGTGCAGAGGTGACAGTAAAAGAGAGGGAGAGAGGTGACAACGTAGGGTTAGAGGTGGAGAGGTGATACAGGTGGATTGGTGCTAGATGCAGAGAGACATTTAATTTGCGGAATCAGAGTGCAGATGTGATAGGAAGAGACAAAGGTTCCTTTAATATAAATAGTTCTGGGATCTAAGTACAGTCATCCAACCTAAGAGCCTAAAATAAGGTGTCTTCTTGCCCAACATTCTCCAAAACGTTTTCATTTCTCTGAAAACATGTCGGCGGCAGTGGAGGCTGTGGGTTTTTTCTTTGGGGTGACAGGGTCAGTCATGTTGGGAATCTCTCTCTTCAATGCCAACTGGCGTGTGTCCTCAGTCGATGGGAATGTCATCACGACATCCACAATATATGAAAACCTCTGGATGAGTTGTGCAACCGATTCCACGGGAGTCTACAACTGCCGGGAATTCCAATCCTTGCTGGCCTTGTCAGGTAAGAACTTCGGGTTTCTTGGTCAATGAGATCCATGGTCTGCTGTGTCTTGGCTGGTGGGCGTGCAAGGATTAGAGATTTCCTCGTCATGCATGCATCACCATGGATGAAGCAGGTGTAAGAGAAATAATATTGGGAGTAAAGGCTTATATTGACGGTATGAAACAAGGAATAAAACTATAGAGAAAGAAGAATGGGCTGGGAGAGTTACAGTAGGGAGGCGGTGGGAAACGTTAGAGTGTTTGACATAATAGTGCAAGTATGTTGTGAAATAGAAAAGGGATAATTAATATAAACACTGTAACAAAGAAAGTAGCAGAAGGAAGGTTGGGATAAAAGAAAAGGGGCATTGAAAAGAGAAGGAAATATATCTAGTCTATTGGAAAAGAGGAAGAAAGGGACAGAAAATAAAGACATGGGGTCAAACAAGGAGAATTGAGTGTAAATGGTGAAAAAGAAAAGGGGAGAAAGGAAGAGGTAGAGAAATATGATTATTATTTGGTATTTTATTAGCAACACCATATAATGCAGCGTTGGACGATAGAGAGAATACGGACTAATAATAAACACATACTGATGCAGAAAGAAACAGAGCACCTGTCCAGTGAGCTTACAATCTAACAAATACGATACTTTCACACAAAGGGCTTAGCAAGAAGGTAGATCGAAAATAGAGAGGGGTGGGAATATACATACATAATATTTAATATCAATGTATATCAAGCACAAATAAACAATTTGATATTACCTGATCAGTGTCAAGTTGCAGATCACTTTCTGGGTAATAAACAGGAAGGTTTAGCAGTGCGGTGCTCAGCCAATCAGAAGAGCAATCCTTGTTCAGTTTCACTCCTATTGGTCCATTTAGAACCTTTCTAATACAATACAGAATACGATGATTTATGGTTTATCCATCGAACGAATTAGTATAAATAATGGTTAATAAAATAATTGGGGGAAAAAAAACATGGATAGTACTGAGTGCTGTTTGAAGACATTAAAAAGAAAGACAAACAAAGCTGGCTGAAAGAAATGCTTCCAGGGAAGCAAAGACATTATTTAAATTTCCTAAAAAAGTTAAAATAAAACATTAATTCTCATTACAGTCATGGAAATGTTCATATACTTTTGCTTCATTGTACATTTTGCTAATATTTCAAGTAAAATTAATAAGTAAACACAACATGTAGCTGAACAATTCCTTCATTTAGTCCTCACAAATAATTCACTTTTACTTAAAACCAAGTATCAAGGTTAGTGTGTGTGTAGTGTGTAGTGTGTGTGTGTGTGTGGTGTGTGTGTGTGTGTATTTGAGTTTGATCTGAAATGGTTTTGTCATTATGTGGCATTCTTATCAGGATTGTTTAATTGAGTTTAATGACATTGATTTTGTAATATGTAAGTATTTATAAAAATAAGTGATGTCCTCTGCAAGTAAATATGGACAAACAAAGCCAATAAAGTCCCTATTACAATGTGTGCTTTAAATGACTGACTGTGTCCGATAACGCACTTTAGCAGAGGCTCTTCACTGAACACAGAGACAAAACGGGTGATATGTGTGAATGGTGCAGGGGACTTCCAAGCAGCATAGGTTATTATGACGCGTTGTGCATCCCATTTATGGTAAATTTAATATGTGTGTGTGTATTTGAGTTTGATCTGAAATGGTTTTGTCATTATGTGGCATTCTTAGCAGGATTGTTTAATTGAGTTTAATGACATTGATTTTGTAATATGTAAGTATTTATAAAAATAAGTGATGTCCTCTGCAAGTAAATATGGACAAACAAAGCCAATAAAGTCCCTATTACAATGTGTGCTTTAAATGAATGACTGTGTCCGATAACGCACTTTAGCAGAGGCTCTTCACTGAACACAGAGACAAAACGGGTGATATGTGTGAATGGTGCAGGGGACTTCCAAGCAGCATAGGTTATTATGACGCGTTGTGCATCCCATTTATGGTAAATTTAATATGTATAACTAGATCAGTTGACTGATGCTTTGCTACTTGCAAGTAATACTAAGTTAGAAATGCTTTCTGCTGTCGCAGTTTTGCTCGTGATTAACATGGAAGCAGTGGCAGAATTAACATAGAGAGGGCCCTGGTGCAAGGATTTTATGCCCCCCTAATGCAGGGGTGGCCAATGATAGATCCATATCTGCCATACATCCTTGCAGGGTTGTATTTGTTTCAATGTTTTTGTATGGAGCGTGTGTGTGTTTGAATGTAGGGATGTATTTGTGTCTAGTGTTGCCATTTGGATGCGACCGACTGGGCCCCTGATCACACATACCCATCAGGTGTCCCTAACTGCATGGGCCACCCGATGGGCCCCCTCAGTATGCAGGCCCTGGTGCAGCTGCACAGGCGCTAGTTCTGCCACTGCTTGGAGGTCTCTTGGATACTGATAGTTGTCTCATTGTCTCTATTTTACATGGGATGCTCTGCAATTCTGACAGTAGATGGCAAACACCTGCTTTAGCACCATGTGAACTCATTGCAAGTTGATAAAGATAGGTTTATTATACTTAGAGTTGATTCTGGATTGGAATTATCTCTCTGTCCTTGTGATTAGTGTATGAGATGTCAGATTGTTGGTGCCTAATATTGACTTAAAAAAAACCCATAAACATAAAACTGTTAAATACCTACTGAGGCCAGGTAGGTCATGCAGACTATATCAAATCTATACTTCACTTTATCTATACTTTTTTCGAAAAAAAAAACCTAAACATTTCTCTGTAAAATTCTAAATAAAAGCATACATTCAGCTTGAGCACACAACATAAAGTGATTGCGGAGGTAATACTGTCCTTGTTTTGTTATTCTGCTTATGTGCATGTATGGACGTAATATGATGCAAATAAGATAACATAGCTTACCCCAAATATCCCCCCAATAATGGCAGACACCGAATGTGGATGAAACAGGCCACAGCATTTATTAAACATAACCTTTATTAACTTTTTCATTTAATTATAATTAGAGATAATACATAAATAATATTTGTTTTCTACATTTATTGCTTTCATTTAAACCGTTGCATTAGCAAGCATTTTTAGGTTTTTGCACGTTGGCTGCCAACGCTGCCAGAAGAAATATAGTTCAGATTTATTTCAATTTGCATTTGAAGAATTTGGGTCTAGATTTTAGCCATTTGGCGAAGTTCGGTGCAGCTGAAATACGTATTAAATTCAGACTCATTTGGAGACATTGTTTGGATTTTCCAGTCTGAAAGGCCCTGTATGCAGCAAAATAGTTTTGCTCCATTGGTACAGGGCCATTTGGACTTTAGTCTGTTGATAGCTTTGTACAATCATTTTTGCTATTTAAATAAACTGTTTATTCTGTTTTATTTGCCATCAGATCGGCTATATGTACTTTTTTAATCTTATTAGCTCATGGATATTCAGTCTGTGAATGGGAGATAAGTTTGTATAGAAGACTTCTAGGGTTGAATGTCATCACGGAGTTCCTTGAGAAACAAGTTGAGCATCCTTCTATCCTGTCGGGTTTGCCAGTGGAATCTTACTACGCTATAGCTTAATCTCACATGACGACTTTCTAGCCTAAGGACTTAGCAGGAGTCACTCATTCTTTATATTAATACGTTGTTTGGATCTGCATACAAGAAGTTCATTGTTATGTTAAAATAATACTTGGTAAGATTATGATTTTCTTACATGGAATCTGAGAGACAAAGCGGGAAATAGGAAATATTCTACATGGCAAATAAATGATTATCTATTATATGATAAATCAAACATTGAATTAATTAAAGAATTCATTATTATTTTTTTTAGAAAATAACCCTAAGGATACATCTCCCAAAATAAATTGGAGTGCGTTTAAATCCGTTTTAAGAGGGCATCTGACAAAACATAGTACTCAATTTTAAAAAAAAAAGAGGAGAAAGCTTAGCAGAGTTATATATAAAATTTAATCAAATAGCTAATAAAAATAAGTTAGAAAAATCAAACAGTTATGAATCAGAATTATGGGGGGTACAAAAACTCATAAAACAAATAAAAATATGGAAAAACTTAAATTAAAATATTATAGTAAAGAGAATAAAGCAGACAAAATACCTTCTGCATAATTAAAAAAAACGTTTGAATCAAATTACTAAAATAATAAGAAATGGAGAGATAGTACAAACACTAGCAAACATAGGTAAAAGTTTTGTATTACAGCTCTCTGTATAATCTAAAAGAGGCAAATGATAAATCAAATATAAAGAGCTATTTAATAAGAGCTCATTTAAATAAAATATCAGAGTCCCAAAGAAATGATTTGAACCATCCTATAGCTAAACTGGAAATTGAGAATGAGATAAATAAAATGGAGAAAATAAACACACCGGGCCCAAATGGTCTTAGTCATTTATTTTATAAAACTTTCAAAGACCAATTAGTAGAACAACTGACTAAAACCTTTAATTGTACTGTCTCACGAGCGTCTTTCCCTACTGAAATGTTACAAGCTAATCTATTACCAATCCTAAAACAAGGGAAAAATTCAACAGCAGTTGAAAGTTATAGGTCAATTTCTTTAATTAATGGATGTACCAAAATATTCTCTGCAATTTTAGCTAATAGATTGAAAAATATATTGAGTACTATAATACATTCAAATCAAATTGGTTTTGTACCAGGAAGAAGTGCCTTATATAATACAAGGAGAATAACTGATATTATTGATTCTGTCACAAGAAAAAGAGTCCCCTTGTTGACCCTATCAATCAATGCTGAGAAAGCATTCGACAGGGTCAGGTGGGTATTTATGAGTCAATCATTACAACAATTTGGGATCCAGGGTTGGATACATCAGGCCATTATGGCTTTATATACAATACCTTTAGCAAGAGTAATGGGACCAAATTTATATTCAAATTGGTTTTCGCTTAGTAATGGTACTAGGCAGGTATGTCCCCTGTCTCCACTCCTTTATATCCTGTCCTTTGAGTCCTTTTCTAATAGTATAAGAAACAATACGAGCATCAAGGGATATAGATGTAAAGAAGGGGAACAAAAAATGTATATGTTTGCGGATGATTTACTAATTACAATTTCAGAGCCTAACAGGTCTTTAGAATATCTTATAAGCTTGGACTTGTCACCAGTGGGGTACCTCAGGGATCTGTACTTGGACCCATTCTCTTTAATATTTTTATTAGCGATATTGCAGAAGGTCTTGATGGTAAGGTATGTCTTTTTGCTGATGATACTAAGATATGTAACGGGGTTGATGTTCCAGGAGGGATAAGCCAAATGGCAAAGGATTTAGGTAAAATAGAAAAATGGTCAGAATTGTGGCAACTGACATTTAATGTGGATAAGTGCAAGATAATGCATCTTGGACGTAAAAACCCAAGGGCAGAGTACAGAATATTTGATAGAGTCCTAACCTCAACAATTGAGGAAAGGGATTTAGGGGTGATTATTTCTGATGACGTAAAGGTAGGCAGACAATGTAATAGAGCAGCAGGAAATACTAGCAAAATGCTTGGTTGTATAGGGAGAGGTATTAGCAGTAGAAAGAGGGAAGTGCTCATGCCATTGTACAGAACACTGGTGAGACCTCACTTGGAGTATTGTACACAGTACTGGAGACCGTATCTTCAGAAGGATATTGATACCTTAGAGAGGGTTCAGAGAAGGGCTACTAAACTGGTTCATGGATTGCGGGATAAAACTTACCAGGAAAGGTTAAAGGATCTTAACATGTATAGCTTGGAGGAAAGACGAGACAGGGGGGATATGATAGAAACATTTAAATATATAAAGGGAATCAACACAGTAAAGGAGGAGACTATATTTAAAAGAAGAAAAACTACCACAACAAGAGGACATAGTCTTAAATTAGAGGGACAAAGGTTTAAAAATAATATAAGGAAGTATTACTTTACTGGGAGGGTAGTGGATGCATGGAATAGCCTTCCAGCTGAAGTGGTAGAGGTTAACACACTAAAGGAGTTTAAGCATGCGTGGGATAGGCATAAGGCTATCCTAACTATAAGATAAGGCTAGGGACTAATGAAAGTATTTAGAAAATTGGGCAGACTAGATGGGCCGAATGGTTCTTATCTGCCGTCACATTCTATGTTTCTATGAAGGAGATAGAAGAATATGGACAAGTAGCAAACTATAACATTAACATAGATACAACAACAGTAATGGATCTTAATTTAGATAACAGTTTAAAACAAGATATTAGATCTAAATATAATTTTACTTGGCTGAAAAAAAGATATGCCCTACTTAGGAATAAAATTAGCAAGGGATATAAACAATATTAGAGAAATCAACTTCTTGTCACTCCTTCGTCACACTAACCATTTGTTAAACAACTGGATAAATATAGAAAAATCTTGGATGGGAAGAATTAATATAATTAATTCACATATTCCCCCCAAATGGCAATATATGTTTAGGATGATTCCTCTAAATTTTTCAGATTGGTGGTTAAGTTTGATTTAGAAGAGTATTACAAACTTCATCTGGCGGCAGAAAAAAACAAGACATAATCAAAACATTTTAGTGCGAAGTAAGTTAAATGGAGGAGTTAAATTCCCATTAGTTAAAAATTATTTCTCGGCTAGCATGATATACCATATATATAATACTTAATTAAACAAACAAGAAGAAGATGCATTGTTTCAAATTGAGACGGTATCTTGCCACCTAAAGGATATGAGTTCTCTGCTATGGCAAGCAAAGGACTCGAAGAAGATATTAATGGCCAGAAACTCTAGCACTGTTTTTGATCACCTTACCGGTTTTTGGATTACATTAAAAAATAAATGTGGTATATTGAACCAGATTCCAGAAGATATTAATTTAGTTTCTTTGGAACATTATATTATGGGGTGGAGACAGAGGAGCATCATAAAAATAGAACAAATTTTAATAGCAGGAAAAGTTAAACCTTTTCCACAGATTGTTCAAGAATACCAAATTTCAGGATCAGAGATATTTAATTATCTAAGATTAAAAAATGATCTAACGTCTAATTTACTGAAAGACAAATCAGGCATAACAGACTTTTCAATATATAAATTATGATTAGAACATTACAGTTGAATGGACACCTGGATGTTCGGGTCCGGCGGGTTTGAAAAAAAGTCCGGGTTCGAACTTGACCCCGAACCCGAACCCCATTGAAGTCAATGGAGACCCGAACATTTGGCCACAAAAATGGCTCTAAAAAACTCCTGGAAAGGGCTAGAGGGCTGGAAAAGGAAGTAAAATGGGGGTAAGAGTAGGACAAATGCCCTGCAAACAAATGTGGATAGGGAAATAACTTAAAAATAACATAAAATAACCTACTGTCCCCCCCGGTCCCCACCCCTCTGCGGTGGGTGTGGGCCCTAAATAACAATAAGGGGGGGGAACCAACAGTGCCCCCTGGCCCCCACCCCTGCGTGGTGGGTGGGGGCCATAAATAAAAATTCCCCCTCCCCCCAGGTGACTAGGGGTCCCCAAACCTATAGTCATCCCCCTCCCCCCAAAACAATTACCCCTACCTACCCCCCTCATCCTAAAAATAATGAGGGGGGACCCTTGTCTAAATACCTGTAAAAAAAATAGACTTACCATGATGTCTTCTTTCTTCTAAAATCTTCTTTTTTCAGCCCCCAAAAAGGCCAAATAAAAAATCCAGAATAACCGACGCACTTAAAAAAAAAAAGAGTGCAAAAAAAAAATAATCCTTCTTCACCCATGGAGGGCTCCACGCAGATTGAGCTCTGCAGGGCGGGGGAAGGCTTATAAAGCCTTGCCCCGTCCTGCAATTAGGCTCAGAGGTGGGTTTAAGCCATCCAATCAGAGTGCTCTGAGAGATTGACAGGTAAGTCTCTACATTTACCTGTCACAGCACTCTGATTGGATGGCTTGAAATCCACCAATCAGAGTGCTCTGTGTCATTTTACACAGCGTGGGAAAGTTCTTTGGAATTTTCCCACACTGTGTAATTTGACTCATAACACTCTGATTAGTTACTTAATCCACCAATGAGAGTGCTCTGTGTCATTTTGTCAGTATAGCGAGTAGGGGCATAATTTACTAATACTAAGTGACCAGCTTCTATAGAGGCTGGGTCACTTGCTGCACTGGCCAATCACAGCCATGCCATTAGTAGGCATGACTGTGATGGCTTCTAAGGGCACACGAGTCAAACGATTGTTGATTGGCTCCCCTGCGGCCTTTCAAAACGCGTCATTAAATCGCTGAACTCCAAACTCCAACCCAAACATACAGTGATATGTCCGTGTTCGGGTCCGGGGTCCAAAAAACTTAATGTTCGGTATGAACCCGAACTTTTCAATTTGGGTTCGCTCAACTCTATTTAACATCTAAAGTTTTGTCTAAAGGTATGGATCTGTTGAATACGATGGAAATATTACAAACATTCCCCGTTTTCCAAATATGGCAAAAAGACATAAATTATATTATAAATATAAATGAATGGTGTGAAGCATGGATAAAGGTTACAAAGGTAATTCACTGTATAAACTGTGCAGAAATACAATTCAAAGTTACACATAGGTGGTATTTAGCACTGACAAGATTAAAAAAAATGTACCGTGAGCATTCACCATTATTTTGGAGATGTAACAAGGTCAATGGAACATATATCCACATATGGTGGAGCTGTAATAATATTGTTAACACTTGGAAAAATATATATATATTTTTAAGAAAAACTCATACCAAGTTAGATTTGAATTTTACTCCAGAAATAGCACCTGAATTGGTCAAAACTAAACAACAAACAATGTTTTTTCATCATACAATGTTTTTTGGACGTAAAGATTGCACTCTGGTCAAATATACATAAACGGTTATTATACCAAATTAAAATGGAAATGAAAATCAGCAAAATCCTAGGATGTACATCCAAAACAACCAAAATATGGGAAGAACGGGTAGATAAATTGGATATAGAAAATATTAATCAACCCTGAACGTTGAATTTTTTTTTTTTAAATCTTAAAATAGATTAAAGGACTATTATAGTGCCAGGAAAACATACTCATTTTCCTGGCACTATAGTGCCCTGAGGGTGCCCCCACCCTCAGGGTCCCCCTCCCGCCCGGCTCTGGAAGGGGGAAAGGGTTAAAAACATACCTTTTTCCAGCGCTGGGCGGGGAGCTCTCCTCCTCCGATCCTCCTCCGTTCCTCCTCCTGGGCTGAATGCGCACGCGCGGCAAGAGCTGCGCGCATTCAGCCCGTCACATAGGAAAGCATTTACAATGCTTTCCTATGGACGCTGCGTGCTCTCACTGTGAAAATCACAGTGAGAAGCACGCAAGCGCCTCTAGCGGCTGTCAATGAGACAGCCACTAGAGGAAATAGGGGGAAGGCTTAACCCATTCATAAACATAGCAGTTTCTCTGAAACTGCTATGTTTATGAAAAAATGGGTTAACCCTAGCTGGACCTGGCACCCAGACCACTTCATTAAGCTGAAGTGGTCTGGGTGCCTAGAGTGGTCCTTTAAGAATATACTGGTTCTAATTACAACTCCCCGGGACGCTGCTCCTTGACGGATTGACTTTGTCTTAAATTTAAAGTCCTGTATTTTTGTACAGGATTTTGTTTAATATGTATACTGTACAGTGTAATAATTATTTATATGTAAGTAATTAATATTTATTTTATGAAGTTCATTATGGATTTGTCGATGGTGAAACGAGTTAACAGTGGTTAATGTAGTTATAAATATTCTCACATATAATCAATTCCTGAATAAGAGGAACAGAAAACAACAGAGAAAGATTATATATAAAGAAAGGGGTCAAGAAAGAGGAAAGAGAAGGAAAAAGAGAAGGGAAAGGGGAAAAAGAGAAGAGAATATATATATATATATATATATATATATATATATATATATATTTCTTTTTTATAATTGTAACACAATTATTTATGAAAACAGGCTTAATATGTTTAATAAGAAATAGTGCAATATTGTATGTATTGTGTGTTTTGTTAGTGGATTTTTTGTATCTATGTTATGATCAAAACCCAATAAAGAATATATAATTAACAAAAAAGATGTTCATTGTTCCAAGTCAATCTAACATCAAGTGTGAGAAAGGAAAAGCAAGAAGAATGGAGGATAGAATTAGAGGTGAATATGGTAAAGGTGGCACAGGTATTGGCCAACTAAATAGAAGTTCAGGGTTGTCCACTAAACCTGAGAATAGTGAGGAATCTACCATGGAATGTCAAATTTCAGGCCAAAATATACGGACTGGAAAAATTGTACACCTCAGGGTTATTTTCTAAAGTGAGAATTGTCAGTTCAAAGTGAATTTCAAAGGTCGATGTAGCGGCACCGGAAGCATAGCTGACTTGGAGAATGTGTAATTTTTACTATTTTGACCTTAAATTTTAAATTCTCTGTGAATTCTCTATAACCGTTATTTGTGCCCCAGATTTGTAATTCCATTACCAGTTCTCCAGATAAGATATAAGAATTCTGTACTAATCGAAGAGCAATTTTTCATTAGAGGCCAACAGAGGTACTGCTAATGCATTAAAGGAACACTATAGGGTCAGTAACACAAACATGTATTCCTGACCCAATAGTGTTAAAACCACCATCTAGCCCCCCCCTGGCCGCCCCTTAACCCCTAAATATAGTAAAATCTTCCTTTTGTTCAAGTCTGCAGCTGCTGGCTCTGCCCCTAATATGCCTTCTTGGTTGACATCATCAGAAGTGATTGGTTGAGACTGTCAAGGAGGCAGGTCAGGGGCAGAGCCATCACAAGCCAAACACATTCATTGAATGAATGCATCTCTATGAGGAAAGTTCAATGTCTCCATGCAGATGATGGAGACACTGAATATCAATCACACTTTGCAGCACTGCCCCAGGAAGCACCTCTAGTTTCCATCTGAGGAGTGGCCACAGAAAGCATCCCTAGGCTGTAATGCAAACACTGCCTTTTCTCTGACAATACAGTGTTTACTGCAAAAAGCCTGAAGGGAATGATTTTACTCACCAGAACAAATACAATAAGCTGTAGTTGTTTTGGTGACTATAGTGTCCCTTTAAGATGAATATGTTTATCTCTTGAAATAGAAGAAAACCTCGTATTTAGAATCGAGATGCCAAAATAATTTTGAATTTGGATAATTTTTCCAATTTGTCTCTTTTCTTACAGGATCCAACCCATACAAAGTAAACACTACTAGTCTTCATTAATTATATTTAACAAATTATTGAGTACTTGTCACTTCTATTCTTTCTCAATAAGCACCACGGAAGCTTGTATGTAGTGTCATTAATGCCATGCCAAAATGATTTTCCCATAATGCAATTTGTGACTTAAGCAAATCAAAGTTGCAGATAATTTAAAGCTTAAGGACACATGACATGTGTGACATGTCATGATTCCCTTTTATTCCAGAAGTTTGGTCCTTAAAGGACCACTCTAGGCACCCAGACCACTTCAGCTTAATGAAGTGGTCTGGGTGCCAGGTCCAGCTAGAGTTAACCCATTCTTTTATAAACATAGCAGTTTCAGAGAAACTGCTATATTTATGAATGGGTTAAGCCTTCCCCCTAATCCTCTAGTGACTGTCTCATTGACAGCCGCTAGAGGCGCTTGCGTGCTTCTCACTGTGATTTTCACAGTGAGAGCACGCCAGCGTCCATAGGAAAGCATTGATAATGCTTTCCTATGAGACCGGCTGAATGCGCGCACAGCTTCTGCCGCGCGTGCGCATTCAGCCAACGGGGAGGAGAGAAGGAGGATCGAAGTGGGAGAGCTCCCCGCCCAGCGCTGGAAAAAGGTAAGTTTTAACCCCCTTCCAGAGCCGGGTGGGAGGGGGTCCCTGAGGGTGGGGGCACCCTCAGGGCACTATAGTGCCAGGAAAACGAGTATGTTTTCCTGGCACTATAGTGGTCCTTTAAGGGGTTAAGGGAATATTTATAAGTAAACATTTTGCAATCAACCTGAATGAAAATTTCTTCTAAAAGGTGTTGGGTTTATTAACTAAATACCAAATTGAAGTTAACTCAAAACATTTCAAAATTCAGAAAAAATCCTGATTTGAACAATTCTCCTCAATAACTCGAAAATAGTTTTATAACTGCCCAAGGGATGGCAGCTTGTATTGTGTAATATGGTACGGTTAGAATTTTGAGTTGTCAAATTTATGGTCATGTGATATCACGACCATGAACCTCCCCCAAAATGGCTACTAATTCATGTTTTGTGATTTTTTTGGGTTGAGTTTCTGTTCTGGGCATGGCTTGAAGTGGTCCTATTATAGAATATTTCTGCTGAATTTGTTCTGTGAGATTATATACTGATAATCATTTACTACGTTTACCTTAAAGAGACACTATAGTCACCAAAGCAACTTTAGTTTTTTTTTTATATATATATATTTTATTTTTATTGGATTTTCTTTTTTGTATGTATTTCATCACATTTCAGAAGTACAATACAACATTGCATTATAACAGTGTAAAAAGAAAAAATAGTAAAGAACATCGTAACATCGCACTATTGTATACATGTATTACGTTATCAGTAACATTTGTATTTGGCCTAAATTTAACTTTAGTTTAATGAAGCAGTTTTGGTGTATAAATCATGCCCCAGCAGTCTCACTGCTCAATTCTCACTTCGCTTTTACAGCCCTAGGTCCCACCTCCCTGCATGCGACTTACACAGCCTTCATAAACACTTACTGGAAAGAGTAATCTGATGTTTATACTTCCTTTATTGGAAATGCTAGACCCTGAAAGAGCCCCCTGTATGTAATTAAAGTTAAATTTACAGAGCAGGAGATAAAAACTTTTAAAGTAAGTTAACATCTGATTAAAAATAAAACCATTTTGTTTTCATGCAGGCTGTGTCAGTCACAGTCAGGGGAGGTGTGACTAGGGCTGCATAAACAGAAACAAAGTAATGTAACTCCTAAATAGCATAGAATTGAGACTGCAGGGGCATGATCAATACACAAAAACTGTTTCATTAAGCTAAAGTTGTTTTGGTTACTATAGTGTCCCTTTAAAATATACAGAAAGTGCATTTTTTCACATCGTAGTCCAAGCACATTTTTTTCACTTATATTCACAAGAAAGAAGAGAACTGTATATCAGAATGACCGATACCCACTAATTGCTTCATTATATAGTTTACAATAAGAGCAGAACTGCCACATATGATATTTATGCACAACCTGATATCCAGCTAAAGTTAGATTTGGATTCATTAGTTAGCTCAAGGCGGTGTGCAAGAAGTTCCCAGGTGTACCAAAATGCAGGGTCACATTGACCTCTTTGTCCTCTGTTTAGGTCTGGACTAGCTTCTTATTCTTTTAAAGAAAAAAACATGACTTCCTCTCTATATAATTAGTTATCATTAGAGTAAAATGTTTGATCTCTACCTCTTTATATTTTAATATTTGTTAAGCAAAGTTTAGATGGCAATTGTTTTCTGGGTGCACAACCTACTGCAATATGCTGCACATTATTCATTTAAAAACACAGCAAATTCTACTTTTTACATTTTTTTTTAAATTTATGCCTGACTTTCTTGGCACAACCATGGTATACCATGTAAATGGATTTAACCTACGAGAGGGTACATTTTATGAAGAAATCTGAATGCTCAATGGTGATGTCCCGAAAGGTTCGCCGAACGATTCGCCACGGATGGCGAACATATGCGCTGTTCGGTCCACCCCCTATGTCATCATTGAGTAAACTTTGACCCTGTACCTCACAGTCAGCAGACACATTCCAGCCAATCATCAGCAGACCCTCCCTCCCAGACCCTTCCACCTCCTGCACAGCATCCATTTTACATTCATTGTGAAGCTGCATTCTTAATGAGCTGTCCAGGAGGTGGGAGGGTCTGGGAGGGAGGGTCTGCTGCTGATTGGCTGGAATGTGCCTGCTGACTGTGAGGTACAGGGTCAACGTTTACTCAATGATGATGAATAGGGGGCGGACCAAACAGCGCATATGTTCGCCGTCCATGGCGAACCGTTCGGGGAACCGTTCGGGACATCACTAATGCTCAATAATAATCGGATAAAACATTTAAGTAAAAAATTGGTAAACACAGGTCATAAACATTTCAACATGGAGAGTGAGGATCTGCTCTGACAGTAAAGTCAGATAATATAACTAGTATGTAAGCCTGCTGCTGATTTTTATATATCAAACTGGATTGGCAAGTTTGACTAATGCTTGCCAATGTTAATCTAAATTTAGTAAATAGTATAAACATAACGTGGCTCCTAACGTTCCAACTCAATCTACTCAATCCTAGGAAACTGATACATCCAATTTGGCCATTTCTAAGTAAGTATCAGCCAATAATCGAGAAAAAACAGGCAAGTATTAACCCATTCCCACCCCCAATCTCACAGGAAAAATTGATTTAATTTTCAGAGCAAAGTAGAAGCATTATATATTTAAAACTAAACATTTATTTTCCACTCAGTCTGTTGCGTTTGGCAGATGGATTGTAAACCCCTCCATCCTTTGCAATGTAAACCTCCTGGCAGTGTTAATTTTAGTCGACTAACATTTTTGAGATTTAGTCGACTAAAATACGACTAAAACTAAAATGGCATTTTAGTCAAAACACTACAACTAAAACTAAATTGAAATTTGCCGTCAAAATTAACACTGCCTCCTAGGCTTAGGTACAGTAAATTGAATTTAGCAGCCACGTAGGCTATTTTGAGGAATATTTGAAGGTTGCAATAACCTGCAAATGCATATACTGTGTGTGGATATCATTTCTACATGCGGAAATTCAATGTATGCTTTGGTGGTATTTCTGTGGTATTTTCCCTTATAAATACCACATATATAAGAACCATTTTATTTATCAAGTTATGTCACACCTGTATGTGTCAAATATTCCTGTTTCTAGGCTAATATATTTGACAAAAGTCATGATTTTATGCTTTTTTCCTTGCAGGATTACAGAGTATTGTCCTCAGCAAGCACAGAGCAAGTGTGTCATGACGAAGCAATCAGCCCATGGCAAACTCTGAGCACAAGGGCCACCCAACTGATTGTTCCCCACATTGACACCCAAGGGGGACCATGGGGCCATGTGGGGAACACAGCAAGTGCATAACAAAGGTTGCCTGCTGAAGGGAAGCAGACCAGACAGCAGGCCATGCTTGCCTCCTTTCCCTTTTATGCTCCAACCCATGTGGAGAGGCTGTAGGGTCCAGCAGGCCAGAAGTAGGTGCAGCGCACCTTGCGCTTACTGCGCGCCGTCTAAGAACAAAGGAACTAGACAGCAGCTGGAGAGGTAGTCAGGCACGTCCCTCACTCCCAGGACACTGAGGGACACTTGGCGCCCAGTAAGTGTGGCGCACTTAGCCCTCCCGGCACACCATGACAGACAGTCAGATCTGAAGCGTGTACGTTTTTGGCTTTGCTCCTCATGTGGTGTTGTGCATTATGCATTTACTGTGAGTGACAATAATGTTTTTTTTCACTGCTTCGGTGAACACTTGTGTCCTTGTGCTACTTTCAAGTCCAGTATGGTTTATTTTCTGTGCTCAAAACATGCAGTTTCCTTACGTGGCATCCTCCTAGAATATATTTTCATCTTCTGTTTGGAGTCCCACGTGTCCCGAGCCCATTTTTATATTTAGATATATATTTTTTTATATTTTTACATTTGTCTCATACGAGGTTGACTTGCTTCATTTTCTAGTGTGTCTGACTCTTTTTAGGCCAGTGATGTATTCATTGTTTACATCTAGAACTGTGGTGCATCTGTTGTTTTTTGTTTGTTGTTTTAGGCAATAAATGAGAAATTAATAACATGTTTGTTTTCTTTTTGTTTTTGAATTGTAAAATTAAATGTTCAGTGTTTTGGTGATCTGACATGGCAGAATGAGCAAGGGTTTCTTTATATGAAGAATCTCTGTGCAAGGGAAGAAATTGAATAGTTGTACTAGATACTAGATCTGCAGCCATTGCAAGGCAAAATTTCATATATCTCCAAATTTTTACAGCACACTGTGTTTACTTTAGAAGTTAATATATCTGCTCTGTTATTTTAACTTTAATTACACACAGGAGGCTGTTGAAGGTTCTAGCAGGCAATATGCAGAGGAGGAGAAATAACTTCTAAAGTAAACACAATGTTCTGTAACGTGAAACCTTTTTATTGTGGAGACTATGTGAGTTTTAGCCAGGAGAATTGTGACCAGGGCTGGATAAACAAATTTGTTTAACTGGTGAATAGCAGAGAATTGAGCAGTGAGATCACTAATGATTTACACCAGGGTTAGGTAACCATTGTCACTCCAGATGTTATGAACCACATCTCGCACAAGACAAATGTGATAACCAGTATTTATTACCTTCTAATATTTACCACCTGTTCATGGGCGGTTATATATTTATTCAAGTGACAAGTTTGCAATTCTTTCCATGTGACTCTATAAAAGGCATGTATCTGTCTTAACGTCCACCAGACCCATTACTGTAAGAGTGCACTACAATACTGCATCTCCATCTTTGTCCGTCTGCGGGAAGCCATGAACAGTTGTATCAATTATTGATCTCATTTTGGGTCACATTTTGGGTTATATGAATATTTCACATAGACCCCTGATGGTGACATCACTGCTTAGAGAGTTATGTCCTGGGGAGCAGTGGAAGTGAGTTATAATTACCTAATGCTGTTCACCAAGGGCTTCCCCATGTTTTAAATCTTCAACTCCTGGCGCTTCATTCACCAGGAGCCCATGTCACATATGCCAGAAAGTGCAACACTAATGTCTATTGAGGATCCCACAAGAACGCAGAGGCTTCCATAGATATCTTCTTGTGATGAGAGGGACAATGCATTAATGCCACGACCAATGCTAGTGACAAAACTTGATGATGGTCGCTCTGCCTCTTGTCAAGTTTTGTCAAGTTAGAGATTTACCTAATTAAATTTCAATGAAATCCCAACCCAGATTTTATAAATATTTCGTGCAGATTTTTTTCTTTATGATCTAAACATTTTTGGGGGGAGAGGTGGGGGTTCATGGAATTGCTTTACTTTTTGCTTTTTTTTTCCTAACCAGCATTTTCGTATCTACACCTTTCTTTATTAATTTTTCTGACTTTTTTTCTGTTTCTCCTTCTGCGATTCACTGGGTGACCTGGGTTATCCTTTAACTTAACTGAATTGTGATGTCAATTACTAAATCTTTAAGTACATTTAAAAGAAAAGAGATCATTAATAAAAGTTGTAGGTGAATTTCAACGTTGTAATTTCCAGACAAGTGACAATTCTTCTTTAACTTGCTCCATATCATTTTACAGATATTCAGCTTATAATGTACAGGCCACCAAGTTCATTATCCTTATGTAGGTATGCGGTGTCACAGTACGAAGCACGTGTTGATTATCAGTCTATAGAAACTAAATACCAATATATAATCTCCTGTGTTTGCTTTCCCACCCCTTCTGTCCAATGTATCATGTCAGCTGCTGTGTTCAGACTTATGACCTTGGCGTTTACAGTTGGCTGACATCAGCATACTCTGCGAACAACCTATAAACCTTCATAGCTAGTAAAATGATCGAAGAGTTATGACAGCCTGCCATAAAACTAATTATTTTATAGACTCTTTGATATTTATTATCTTGTAAAATATTTCACATTGAGAGTAAGGACATCTTTCAGAAAATGCATGTCGATTCTATTTTCCATCAAACTATTTTTGTCCTTTTTTTATATGGGGGTTTTGTGGTGTTATATGTCCATTTTCCCGACCAATGAAGGAGCTTCTGTCCGTGAAACCTCCCGTCTTTTATTATGTCTTGTTTGTCACAATCAGTTATTCTTAATTTCAGCATTGTGTGCATAGCGCCTGCTTTATAAAGAAATGAGGACTATTATGGAGTTAGTGGTGTTCCATCATTAGGTTCGTCGGAGTTCACTATACCTTCTCAACCCTCTTGTTTTTTTTTCCTGTTCGTGAATTTAATGCAATCCAGCAGTATACATTGTTCATATGTGCTGTTGCTTACATGAAAGCTAAAACACGTTATTATGGAAATGTTTTTAGGTTAATCCTCGATTTAATATTTTTGGATAAACCTTTCTTTTTTTTCCCCTCCAAAATATGAAAATCAGTTAAGTAAAACTTACCTTTCTCTGCACCCCACAGCTACCACACTGCCAGCGGCAAAGTCACCATCGAGGGTCTTTGTAAAAATATGCAAAGACCCCAGCAGTTGAAAGAGCCACTTTAAGCAAATGATCTCTTTTAAAATACATTGCTGTTGTCCGGAAGTGACTCTTTAAATGGTCTGTTTTCTCTATTCAAGAATAAATGCCCTAACGGTGATGCCCCACTGTTGCTTTTTTTTTTTCTTCTTTGTTTGGTTGGTTTTCTAGAGGTAGTTTACGTTTTATGTAGTTTACACATTTAATGGTGTAGTAAAATGTTTATTTTGAGATTATCATCTCTTGAGTTAAATAAGGTCTAAACAGAATTTCACAGAGGTTAAACCAAAGAACAACAGATGTTAACCTATAAAACTGTTAGTACTACTATGCTTCACATTTGTTTAAAGATTACAGGTCCCAGGAATGGTTTGTTTAACTTTAAAAATACAGACATGATTATGGTATATGATGGCATAAATGAAGCCTGCAGACACATCCTTACTTTTTATGATTTTTTTTTTGTCTTGACCCTCATCATATTGATGGCTTAATAGCCTGACGTGGCTGAGTTTGGTCAATGCATGTGCAACTCGAAATGTGAAGACGTTTTGAACCCTCTATGTCTGCTTCCTTTCTGAGAAGTGGCAGAAAATAAAATAATCTAAACACTTGAGGACTGTGGGTATAGACACAGGAGCAATTCATCGAGGGAGGTGCCCAGCAGACTGGTTGACTGGACATGAGAAGTCTTATTTATCCCTATACACCTGGGTTTAGAACCATCCTTTAAGTCAACATACCTCCCAACACTGAGATGGGGGCGTCACTAGTGACTCAACTCTCATCACTGGAGACAGTAGCCTTTCTGTATGGCCCCCAGCCTGTACAGTACTCCCTGCTTGATCCTATTGTCTGTGCACAGTGCATGCACATGAGGAGAGTTTCCTAGTGGCCCCGGTCAGGGCCGCCACCAGAAATTTTGGGGCCCCTGACAAAGTACACGGTCTGCCCCCTTCCTCCCCTGCCCGCACACTCCCCCCCCGCCCGGCTCGCCCAAGAGTCCGCCGACAATGATGCAGGACTGAATGTGGTGTTTATAGTGGAAGTGAATTAGAATGTGTGTAATGGATGTAGTGTTTGTGTGTATTAGATACTGTTTGTGCAGTGAATGCAGTGTGTATAGTGAACGCAGAATGTGTTTGAGTAGTGGATTTAGTGTGTGTTTGTGTAGTGGATGTAGTCTATGTGTGTACTAGATGCAATGTGTTTAGTGGATGCAGTGTCTGTAGTGGATGTAGTGTGTGTATTAGACGCAGTGTCTCTGTATAGTGAATGCAGAGTGTTTGAATGTGTGATGGATGTAGTGTGTGTACTGTGAATACAGCATGTTTGTGTAGTGGATGCTGTGTGCATAGTTTTTGCAGAGTGTGTGTCAGTGTAGTGGATGCAGAGTGTGTGTCAGTGGAGTGGATGCAGAGTGTGGGTTAGTGGAGTGGATGCAGAGTGTGTGTTAGAGTAATGAATGCAGAGTGTGTGTCAGTGTAGTGAATGCAGAGTGTGTGTGTTAGTGTAGTGAATGCAGGGTGTGTGTTAGTGTAGTGAATGCAGAGTGTGTGTCAGTGTAATGAATGCAGAGTGTGTGTTAGGGTAGTGAATGCAGTGTGTCTTAGTGCAGTGAATGCAGAGTGTGTGTTAGTGTAATGAATGCAGTGTGTGTGTTAGCTCAGTGAATGCAGTGTGTGTGTTAGTGCAGTGAATGCAGTGTGTGTGTTGGTGTAATAAATGCAGAGTGTGTGTCAGTGTAGTGAATGCAGAGTGTGTGTTAGTGTAATGAATGCAGAGTGTGTGTTAGTGTAATGAATGCAGAGTGTGTGTCAGTGTAGTGAATGCAGAGTGTGTGTCAGTGTAATGAATGCAGTGTGTGTGTTAGTGCAGTGAATGCAGAGTGCGTGTTAGTGTAATAAATGCAGTGTGTGTCAGTGTAATACAAAATAATAATATACACGCTGTGAAAGACAAATAAGTAGCTCTAAAACACCTAAAAAAAGTGGTATCCCTTACACCACTAAAAACATAATATAATACATACAGAGTTATAGGTGGAGCTGTGGAGTATCTTGAACAATCTGGAAAATAGAATATATGCAAATAGCGTAGTATATCTATACAATATATAGCATATAAAAAATGAGAATAAAAGCACTCACAAGGATAGAGTCATACCGTCATATGACTCTTAAAGTATGTTCTCTTGGACCATTAGGGGGTTGTCCAAACCCTTGTTTTGTTGATTGCTTGTTATTTCTCCTGATGGTCTTCAAAAAAGATGCTCAGTATGCCAAGAATCTTGGAAAATAATTCTTGTTTATTTGTAGATAAAATAACAAAATGGCAATATACTAAACCAATATATATTGGGTGTAGATATAGTCCAATAAAAAGTCTATCAAAGTTGAAAATGAGTGTCCAAAACGCGTTTCGCCTGATTAACAGGCTTCCTCAGTTGGCTCTAATGTTTCTTCCAAAGTTTTCTTTGTTTGAAAATGTCGCCGGCCGGCTGTATCTTCTTTTATATGGCACTTCCTGATTCCGTCTGGTGGAACGCAACGTGCGCTCCACCTACGACACCAACTTCCGGTACGCACCGCAAGTGGAACGCACGTGCGCCCCAACTCCGTGCGCACACCGGAACTTCAGCACCAACTTCCGGGTGGAGCGCCCGTGCGCCCCAACCCGGCGCCAACCTCCGCAATGCACCACAAGTGGAACGCACGTGCGCTCCAACTTCAAGCAGCAAGTTCACTTCCGGGTCTCTCTATACTTCCGGGTCACACTCAGGTGGAACGCACGTGCGCTCCACTCCCAGCCTCACATCAGGTGGCCAAATGTAAACATAAAAAATGGCGTTCTGCCTGTATTTACACCAATAGAGTGTGACATATAGAATTATAAGTGCTATGTCTTAAATAAAAATAATATAAAAAATCAGATATTATGGAAAAGAGTAAAAATCAAATTTGATGAGAAGGAATAAAAACTAATACTATTAGTTTTAGAAGATTGCTATCACAATCTTAAAGGGGCAGAATGTCATTTTTAGAAATTTTATAAAAATACACAGTAAAAACTGAATAAAATACATATAATGCCCAATAGTAAAAGAAACACAAAAATAGTATGTAAGTGTATAAAAAGATGCCTAAAAACTTCCATAAAATAATATGAAACCAAGATAGGCTAAAACTAATGCATAAAGTGGCATAATTCAAAATCATTGTTCAGACCGTTTGGAATCATAGTGTCAAAATTGAATATGAACTTCATCTCTTCCTTTCCTATTTTGTTTACATAATCACCACCTCTCCAATCTTTTTTTACTAATTTTAAAGCACAAAAAAACATTCCTTCTGGATTTTGTTGGTGAACATGTTTAAAATGATTTGAAACACTATGGGTTTCGACTCCATTTTTGATGTTTCTTATATGTTCCGCTATTCTTAAATTCAATTTACGAATTGTACGGCCTACATATAAAAGATTGCAGGGACATTTTAAAATATAGATCACTCCCTTCGAATGGCATGTTAGATGATCTCTAATGGTAAATTTCTTGTTGATAATGGATTCTAGGTCTGTTAGGTGTCTTTTTTTTATTCTTTGTATTTTTACATGCTAGACACTGTCCGCATCCGTAAAATCCTTTACCTATTGTAAGGAAGGTTTGTCCTACTGTTTGTTCTTTGTTACTACTTTTAACTAAAGTGTTTCTCAAGTTTTTTACACCTCTAAAGATGACTTTTGGTTTTTCTGGTAATATATTTTTAAGAATAGGGTCATCTTTTAGTATATGCCAATGTTTTCCTATGATTTTATGCATTTTCCTACTGTTGCCATGGTAGTTGCATATGAAGGGGATGTCTTGTTTCTTGATTAAATCTTTCTTTTTCTGTTTATATTTTAGAAGGTCTGTTCTTTGTATTTCTTGAACCTCATTTATAGCTAATTGGAGGGAAACATCGTCATAGGAAAACATTGGCATATACTAAAAGATGACCCTATTCTTAAAATAGATGGTGTGCGTGCCGCGTGGAGCGTTGCCATGGTTTGCAACGCTCTAACGGCCACACGTCTCGCGGGAGTTATGGAGACGGAAGATCTGTAAAGTGCTCCTGCAGTCCGCTGGGCCCAATCTGCAAATACAGGAGGTTAGGGGGGGGGGGGAATGGCTGCACATATATATAGTGGACTGCCGGGCCTGTGTTGTCAACCCCTGATGGTGGCCCTGGCCCCGGTGATTATCTAAAATGTCAAGGTTAACAGTTGGGTGAGGTTGAAGGCCTTTGTACTTTTCCAAGTGCATAAATTAATATCTTGTGCACTAGATTCCGTTATCATACATGAGGCTATTAATTCATAAATTGCAGAGTATCAAGAAAAACGTCAACAAGATTATACTGCCAGGCAGGAACTACCGTTAATAACCCAGTGGCTCCTTGATATGTATTGCTCAGGGCAGAACCTGAGAATCCTGAGAGTGTAGCTCAAATGCAGAAACATCAGCGATGCATATCTATTTTTTTATCCTTTTGTTTTAATTGCTTTATTGTACTTAAGGCATGATTTATGTATTTAACGTACTGCTGCCGTGAATAAAGTCAAAGCATTCTTCTAGCAAGTTGGATCCCATTATAGCAGTATCCAAGAGGATGTCAGGGCTATTCAATAAGGAATTGAAGTAAGGATTCAAGGTGAATTTAAAGTGAATTTAAAATTTCAGGTCAAATTAGCAAACCTGTAAAAATTCTTTAAATCAGCTATGATTTCAAGTTGGCTACTTTGGCCTGAAATTTGGAATACACTTTAAATTCACTTTTAATTCTCACTTTAGTAAATAACCCTGAAATAGTCCTGACTCCTGCTAGAACCATACTTCAATGCTAGGTGCCATTTGGGACCCAATTAGGCTTAACCAGGACCTCAAGTCCTTTTTCTATTAAAGGGATCTTATAGTGCCAGGAAAACCAACCTGTTTTCCTGGCACTATAGTCTCTTTAAGAGTCTCCCTCCCTTGGGGCCTCCTTCCCTGGGCACTGGTGACCTCTCCTCCCCAGCCAATGGCAGCTCTCGAGTGGAGCCAAATGCGCATGCACGGCCAAACCTGCCTATAGGAAAGTATTACTCAATGATTTCCTATGGGGATCTTATTTGACGCTGGACTCCATGAGGACATCCAGCGTCAGATAAGTGCAATTTGCTCAGTGTAAATCGTGGAAGCGGCCTCTAGTGGCTGTCAGGGAGAAAGCCACTAGAGGCTGGATTAACCCTGCAGTGTAAACATAGCAGTTTCTCAGGGTTAAAACTATGGGGACCTGGAACCCAGACAACTTCATTGAGCTGAAGTGGTCTGGGTGCCTATAGGGGTCCTTTAATGATAGGTTATAAACTGCAGCTTTTCCCAAAGATCTTTCTCTCAACTCAAAGCGGATTTCAAATTTAGGGCAAGAGCAGCTGAAATAACACAGCTGATGTAGTGATGGTGGAATTACTGTAACACCTGGAATTGGGTATCACCAGGGATTCTCGTCATTTTTTGTAGTCATTTCGGAGTTAAAGGAAAATGTTAAAGAAGCATTCCTAAGAGTACAAGCGAGGCATATATACAACAAAGGAAATTTAATATATGCTCTGGATATGCACTTCTTTAAAAAGCAGTATTTATTTTAATAATTATCCTCCATAAACATACTTTACCTTATCGGAATAATATTATTTTATCTTATTCAAACTAATGAAATTACATTTAGGATAAAGTTACATAAGAAAGCCATTATCTGTGTGTATTAGTGCTTGGAAGTAGATTTCTCTGTAAATATTAGATTCCTGGGAAAGGGGGGTGAATGGGTGTAAAGTTCGGTAAATGATTTTTAAAGGAACAACCCAGACTCCTAAATCACTTAGCTTGATAAAGTGCTCTGTGAGTGAAGAGAGTGTCCTCCTTTTTTATTCATTTTATAAAAAGTGCAGATTTCAATGGAAATTGGCACTGGGTCCACTGCCATGGCTGTCAATCAGACAACTGATACTGCTGCTTGTCCTGGTTGTTTAGGTCAGTGTAGCTAAAGACTTCTCATTGAGCTGCATTGGGAAGTCTGTGATTGGACAGTCACACAAAATCTGGGCGGGGTTAGAAAACTGCAAAACTGCAGACAAGAGATCTGCAGCTTTTGAAAGCTGTTCCTAGGTAAACCCCCCCAATGAAAAAAATGCATAATCAAATGCATGCATGTTTTCATTAGGGGGATATTCACTAAACAGTGCTTTTTGTTTTATTTTTCCTTAACCCCTTAAGGACGGAGCCAAATGTACACGTTGTGAACAAAACAAAATGTAAACAAAACCTGGCATTTGCGCTACATGTCTGTCCAACCGTAATTCAAATCTTTCATATTAACTGCACCCACCCTTATTATATATCATTTTATTCAGGGGAAACAGGGCTTTCATTTAATATCAAATATTTAGCTATGAAACATAATTTAATCTGAAAAAATTGGGAGAAAATAAGATTTTTTTAGATTTTTTTAGTTTTAACGGTCAATGTCATAATACTGTTTGCTTTTACTGCAATTAAATACACATATTTGTATTCAGCACGTGTAAGACAGTACCCCCTATGTACAGGTTTTATGGCGTTTTGGGAAGTTACAGGGTGAAATATAGCATGTTTCATTTGAAACTGAAATTCGCCAGATTGGTTACGTTGCCTTTGGGACTGTATAGAAGCCCAGGAATGAAATTTACACCCATAATGGAATACCATTTGCAATAGTAGACAACCCAAGGTATTGCAAATGGGGTATGCCCAGTCTTTTTAAGTAGCCATTTGGTCACAAACACTGGCCAAAGTTAGCGTTAGTATTTGTTTGTGTGTGAAAAATGCAAAAAACGCAAATTTTGGCCAGTGTTTGTGACTAAGTGGCTACTAAAAAAGACTGGACATACCCCGTTTGCAATACCTTGGGTTGTCTACTATTGCACATGGTATGCCATCATAGGGGTATTTTTCAATCTTGGGCTACCATAGGGTCTCAAAGGCAACCTAACCAATCTGGCGAATTTTAATGTGAAAAAAATGAAACGCAAGCCTTATATTTGACGCTGTAACTTTTGAAAACACCATAAAACCTGTACATGAGGGGTACTGTTGTACTCGGGAGACTTCGCTGAACACAAATATTTGTGTTTCAAAACAGTAGAATGTATTGCAGCAATAATATTGTCCGTGTAAGTGCTGTTTGTGCGTGAAAAATGCAAAAAACGTAACTTTTACTGGCGATATCATCGTTGTAATACATTTTACTGTTTTGAAACACTAATATTTATTTTCAGCGAAGTCTCCCGAGTAGAACAGTACCCCCCATGTACAGGCTTTATGGTGTCTTGGAAAGTTATAGGGTTAAATATAGTGCTAGCAAATTAAATTCCCTTTACTTTTGGCATGGGTTGTCAGGCAGGTCCCGCTAATTGCAATTAATTAAGATACCTAATTATGTAAAAATAATATATATGTAGAATTAATATATGTATATATATCTGTATGTGTATATATATGTATATATCTATATAATTTTTTTAAAATATTTTTATTTATATATAGGTATATATATAGTGATATATACGTATATATTTATTTATATAGATATATATATATTATTTCGTTCTAAGTGTATTTTGATATATATATATATATTAATTTCACAATACAGTTAGAACGAAATAACACACATCTATATATTTTTTAATTATTTATTTTTAATAATTTTTTAATTTAATTTTTTAACGTATTTACATATTTTTTTTATACTATATATAAATATATATATAACAATAATTATATATATATTTAATCAGTATCAGTCTACGTGTAATTTGATATTAATATATATATATATAATTATATATATATTAATAGTAAAATACACCTAAACAGTGTACGTGTGTGTATGTATATGTGTATTTTATTATTTTTATTATTTTTTTTTACACTTTTTAATTTATGTGATTTTATTTCCAGCCAGCAGGGGGACCACCTGTCATTACAGGCAGTCCCCCTGCTGGCAATGCTGCAGCCAGCTACCCCCGGCCATGTGATTGTGGGGTCCTCGCAAGGACATCACTCGCACATGGCCTGGGGGCTTCCAGGGGGTCGGACGTGCCGCGGGGGGCTCCCTGGGAGTCCCCCCAACCGCGATCGCCGGCGTGGGATCGCCGGCGACCAGGTAAGTAGGAAAAGACCGGAGGGCGTACTATTACGTTTAGAGCCGCTTAGAATAGGGCGTAATAGTATGCCCTCCGGTCTTAAGGGGTTAAGAATAAAGAAGCTGTTGTTTTTTATTGAGACTATTTCTGAAATTAATCCATTGGGTTTATAATGTATGTTAACTGTTTTATTACAATTAAAACCTGGGTGGTGCAATCTCTGGGTAACTTGCAGGAGGGGAGCAAACTGCATAGCACGCCCCCACGTGCCACTCGCTGCATGTAGCATGACCGAGTGGACTGCAGTGGAACGATCTTCTGTATCCTCCACCTGGTCTGATAGGAAGTGCTCACTGAGAGCAATGAGCAGCTTCCTGTCAGATTAGGTACAGGACACAGAAGATGCTCCACCATGGTAAAGAAGTAAACAGATGGGAGGAGATCACAAAAGGAAGGGACGGTCAGACAAAGAGACACATAGAAGGACTGGGGGGACAAAGAGACTCACAAAGGGCTGGAGGGATGGACAAAGAGACACACAGAGGGGATGGGGGACAAAGAGACACACTGAAGCGCTGAGTGGGCAAAGACGCACAGAGGGCTGATGGGACAAAGAGATATACAGAGGGACAGGGTGGTGGAAAGAGACACAAAGAAGGGCTGAGTGGACAAAGAGAAACACAAAATGGCTTAGTGGACAAAGAGACACACAGAGAGCTGGGGAGGACAAAGATACACAGAAGGGCTGAGTGTGGCAAAGAGACACACAGAGCGCCGTGGGGGAGAGACACACAGAGGGGCTGGGGAGGACAAAACGATATACAGAGGGACTGGGGAAGGGGAGAAAGGAGTTTGGGGGAGAGACACAAAGATGGGCTAGGGGGAGAAAGAGTCACAAAAATGGTCTGTAGGATAGAAACACACAGAGGGGCTGGGGAAGGGGAAAAAGAGACACACAAAGCACACGCAGTTAGACATCTTTGTTTGGGGAGGGTACAAGTAGCTTGTCTTGCCTATTGTGCAAAATAGTCTAGCACCAACCCTGATCCCACCCCATATCTAATTACCACCAATTTCATAGTAAGGATAAAAGTTCTAAAAGTTTCTGGAGATCAAATATAATGGTGTGAAAATATATTTAACTAAGCGCATGAGGAAAAACACTTGGAATTAGTCCAGTCTGGCCACTGTCGTGTTTATCTTTTTTTATCGCCTTAGCCTTTGACTTGTTGGAAAGTTATCCAAGAATTTTGTTCCTGTTGTGCGTGCCACGAACACACACTATTACAAGCATGCTGGAAACTTAGTTCTGGCAGTGAATGGGTTAAAAATCATTATATGTCTCCCCCAGACCAAACATAATGATAAACAAGACCTTCAACACTAACCCCACTTAACTCTAATGTCAAAAGCTGCCACCACCAGGACAAATTAGAAATGGGGTTGCCTTGGTCCCCCAAGCAAATTAGATTAACAACCCATGAAACGCACAACATTTTAAAATATTAATAAATTGATCTCTTTGGGTAACTGAATTCTTTACCAGACAAAGGTAGAACTTAATAAGGGAATATTTATTATTATTAAAAAAAAATAATCACAGTGCATACAAAGAAAATGAGATGGCAAAAAAAAAATCATTAACATAAGCAGCAGTTAAAACTTAGATGTAAGGGGAAGAGCCAACTGTGGAACTGAGCGGATTCACTTTCTTGGGCTCTGGCCTTCGGGACCCTAAAACTTGTGATAGTGGCACAGAACCACTGGGAGCAACACCCAAGCCACCCTCCAGCAACGAGCCAGTCACGGCAACCCATGCTGGCTGAATTGTGGACCAACATTGTGACCAATATGGCCTTCTTCAGAAAAAAGCCATCTAAGAGCTCCAAACTCAGCAAATGGCTACCAACAACACGGTGGATACCCTAGAAGATCAACAGAGACATTATAACTTAAAGGTTCGGGGCATCTCAGACTCAGTGGGGCTCATGGACTTATCTCACTATGTCCGATGGTTCCTCAACGTATTGTTACCCCCAAAACAGGCCAAAGCAGTGAAGCTCGATGTTCCACCTGCCGAAGCCAGCAAGAGCCCCAGCAGCAGCACACACAGCCCTCATTATTCCAATCCTGACAGAAAAAGCACTCCTCATGGCTGCTGCTCGAAGAAAGACCCCTTTAAGTTTTCAAGGCTCCACAATTTCCCTGTATCCAGACCTCACAAGGGCTACCATTAGCTGGCGCAAAACACTGCAACCGTTACTGCATCTCCTCTGATTCAAGAACATCCCATACAGATGGGGAATGCCTAAAATGCTATCCTTCACACATCTTGGAACCCTATATAAGGCATGGAGCTTGGACAAACTTGAAGCACATCTACGCACAACAGGCCTCGTGGAACCACAGAGGGAAGAAAAATCAAGCCTGTCACGCTTAGACCCCACAAGATCTGTTTGGGGAGTGGGATAAAAACCTATTTTGAAATAGGTTTTTGTTACAAACCATAAATTTGCTAGAAAAACTGCTAGAACAATCTATAGACCACATCATTGCTCTTTCACAAACCGAGTACATGTATCTTTTAAGGTGGAGTTTTCACGGTTTCTCTTTTGTCTTGAATCTATTTCTAGATATGGACATACTATAACTCCCTTCTGTATAGTTTACAACTTCGCTACTAATGACAGTTTCAGTAGTTAGCAATACGCTGTTATTTATTAACTTAAATTTCATTTTTAGTGCACTTATACATGTTTGGGAGTTCAGAATTATAAATAATTCATGATGAATTGTATTCGAAACCAAACTATTATAAATTATAATATATTATATAATATATAAAATATTGCCCGCTTTAAAATCTACATATGCATCGTTTGTGTCGTTTTCTTTATACTCAACACCAACTTTAAATGTGGGAAAACTATTTAGATAAATTGACTTCATTTAAAATAAAAAACAGTCTCCGCATGTTTCTGTGTATGGTTGGGTTTTCCGTCTGCTATAGATTCTTAATTCTGCAGGCAAACTGACTTCATCAGTTCCAACTTCAAATGTGTTCACCTTGTTGGCAGCAAGTCTCACAGAAAACGCGTTATGATGCGCTGGACTTATAACAATTTTGAAAAAATATTTTATTGAAGTAAATGTTGTTTGAAAAGGGACACTATAGTCACCATAACTACTACAAATTAACCCCTTAAGGACAGGCCTGTTTTTGCGATGTTGTACGTTAAGGAGCAGAGCGGTTTTAACACTTTTGTGGTGTTTGTGTTTAGCTGTAATTTTCCTCACTCTCATTTACGGTTCCCATACAAGTTATATATTGTTTTTTTCAGGACAAGAAGGGCTTTCTTTACATACCATTTTTTGTATCATGTCATATATTAATATCAAAATAACGTTAGAATAAAATTACATATATATTTATAAATTTTTTTAAAATAATTTTAAATGTTTTACCTTTTTTATTTTTATTTACTTATTAGTTATATTTTATAATATATATACAATATATATAATTATATATATATACATGTGTAATTTAATTACACGTGTATTTTTATATTAATATAAATATATATATAAATAGAAAAATACACTTAGTATGACATTATATATATGATATATATATACATATATTATATATATACACATATACATATACATATACATACATATACATATATTATATATATACACATATTATTATTTTTTACACTGACTGATTTTTTTTTAACTTTATTTTTGATTTTACACTTGCAGGGAGACTGCCAGTCAGCACAGACAGTCCCCACAGGCACCTATTGCGGTCATGTGATCGAGCGATCACGTGGCCGCGTGGTCCTCATCTGCCAGGGGGAGACTGTCTGGGCAGACAGGCAGTCCCCCTGGACCGGTGAAACGCCAAGTACCCCCAGACCGGTCCTCAAGGTGATGTTTCCGATGACGGTCCTGAACCGTCATCGGTCATCAAGGGGTTAATGTAGTAGTTCTGGTGTCGATGGCCTTTCCTTGCAGTTTTAGCCATGCAAAAGCTGCCTTGTCAGAGAAAAGGCAGGGTTTACATTGCTGGATAGTACCTCTAGCTGCAGTCACTCAGACGGCCACTAGAGGTGCTTCCTATATCAGTGCTGCATTGTGTGCAGCAATAGTGTTCAGAGTCTCCACACTCTGCATGGAGACACTGAACGCTCCCCATAGATGTGCTGATTGGTGCAGCATTGCATTTTGACTTGCATTCGCAATTCCTATGGGAAAGAATTGGATTGGCTGAGACCGTCAACATTCATGGCGATCATTCATGGCCAGCCACAGCAAGACCAGCGCAGCAATGGAGAAAAGGTAAGTAAGCTACCTTTTTTCTCTATTCTGGGGGGACACCTAAATATGTAGTCCAGCACTATAGTTTTCCTTTAAGATTATGTTTATGGGAAAAAGTCTACTAACAGAACATTAAGCTAATATCTGTGTGTTATCATAAAGCCATGTACAGAAAATACAATTAAGCAAAGCATATACTATATCAAAAACGTTCAGCCTGCAATAGCAGTCTGCTAAAAAGCTTGTAGTGTGCTCAATGTACTCAGCGCTCTACTTCCCAATGGTCACTAACAAAAACAACCTGCAGTTTAACTTCCAAATGATTCTATAGCATGGGAGACGAGAGGGGCGTGGAGACAACAATAACGGTTTCTCTGCCAGGTCAAGGCCAGCGCTGAAACAGAGAGGAAGATAAGGCTAAATGGGCTAAATTTAGTTTTTCGTTGCTCTGCAATGCCTATTGAAAGTCGGCCCACGTATGCATGGTGGGAGGGAAGTGGTTAAAGGAAAGTTTATTGACACATTTAAACTCTTTACCATAATCTGGTGTACATAAGTAAATACGAGATACTGTACTTTGGTATTTTGTTATTGACTAGCTATCTTAGTACTGTGCTTTGGACCTTTCACCCATTATCTCTCCGTGACGAGCAGCATGATGATATTAATTGCAATAAATGTCTTCTGACTTTCTGTTAGTCCTGAAGATAGCAAGCCCTGCATGATTAATCCCTAAGTATGTTCTGGTAGATGGAATTTTCCCAAAAAGTTGGGCCCAGTCACCTGGATATAAACTATCAGACGTGATTGGTGATCTCAACCAAGTAATCAGATTAACTGAAAGTGTATCCTGTTTGATTTGGGAAAGTTCCATCCCATTGTATGTTATATACTCTATTCACACATTCTGTAGGCAGCCCCAGTGGGGAACCTTCTTTGAGAGTCATTCAATTATCTACTTGTTGTCTAAGCAATGTTTGTGGGGTTTGAGAACATTCATCCACCTGCTGTCCAATGATAACTGTGGGTTTATCCCACAGCATGCTCTAAAAGATTATTTGACAGGGGGTTCCACATGTACCCCTTCAACAGGTTACATAGTTACATAGTTACATAGTTGAAAAGAGACTTTCCTCCATCAAGTCGAGCCTTCCTCACAAATGTTTTTGTTGTTGATCCAAAAGAAGTAAAAAAAAAACAGTCTGAAGTGCTTCCAATTTTTCAACAAACTAGGAACAAATTCCTTCTTGACCCCAATAAAGCAGTCAGATGTCTCCTTGGATCAAGCAGCTATTTCCCCACTAATTAGAAATGATATCCCTGTATGTTATGTTTTTGCAAGTATTTATCAAATTGCAGTTTAAACAGCTGTATGGACTCTGACAAAACCACCTCTTCAGGCAGAGAATTCCATATCCGTATTGCTCTTACTGTAAAAAAGCCTTTTCTTTGCCTTAGATGAAATCTCCTTTCTTCCAGCCTAAATGTGTGATGTTGTATCCTATGTATAACCCTGTTTATGAATAGGTTTCCAGATAATGGTTTGTACTGGCCCAGAATATATTTGTATAACCATATCCCCTGTCAGGTGCCGTTTTTCCAAACTAAAGAGATTTACATTTTTTAACCTTTCTTCATAGCTAAAATGCTCCATTCCTTTTATCAATTTTGTAGCTCGTATCTGCACTTTTTCTAATGCCATGATATCCTTCTTTAGAACACCTGCCCAAAATTGCACAGCATATTCAAGGTGTGGTCTTACCAGCGATTTATCAAGAGGCAAAATGATATTTTCATCCCGAGAATTTATGCCCCTATTTATACATGGTTAGTCGATAACCCATGAGATTGCAACATCTCGGTCATAAAGTATTCATTTTAATGGCAGCTCTTGAGATGTGTGAAAGAGTTATCTTGAAACACGCACCTTTTTCAACTTATATGACATTGTCATTTTGATCTTACAGGGAAGAGTAAAACTATAAAACATAACTACTTATTCATAGCTTTATATTGCTCTTCTAATTTATGGCTTTACTTTTCATACTTGGTTTGTTTTACTGAATAACACTGTCTGTTAGCCTCAAGAACAGACTAGAACATTAACACACGGGTTAAAAAACAGGATTTACTCCTTCCGTTTCTCATTGTGAAGAAAATAGACTTTTACCTGTTATTTTCTCCTTTTTATTCGGTATTTTTTTTATATGTGAATATTTGTATTGAATGGATTGGTTCGGTAGTTTGAAACTACCGAACGCCGACCACCCTCCTGGCTCATTTACTTCAAAGAAAACTAGCTATTAAGTGCTCCCTGGGCGGCCGCTGTTCGTATAACCGAACGCCACGTGGAAAAGAAAACGGCGGCCATCTTGTTCGCACGAGGAGAGCCAGCGGGACTTGGTCGTCGAGTGTCTGGAACTAAAATCGAACACAACCTCACGAACTACCGCTGGAAACTACCGAACGCCGGCTTCTCATACTTCCAGAACAGCCAGGAAAGCCGCATTCGGTAGTTCTGTGCGAAAGGACAAGGAGAGCAATCGCTACTATGAACCAGGGGAATCCATTCAGGACTTTTATTCTTTTTTTTCAGTTTTGTGAATTGACCTACCGCACACACTGAATTCATGGAACTGTTTTGGGCAGGAGCCGCATGTGTGGTCGGTAAAAGGGACCCTCCACACTTTTCCAGAACCCCTGAACCGATCTGGGTGAAATTTGGATATGTTTGTCCCCCAGATCGGGGCTATCAGGGGATATGTAATTGTGGGGATACCTTGTGGGGAAAGGGGTGTTCTAAGTTTTGGGGAAATTATGTGCTCTCTGCCTGGAGATAATTGATTTATTCCTTAACTTATCTCAATATCTCCCAGGCAGAGAGGAGGCATGTAATACTGTAAATCTGTGTGATGATTGGCTGTTGTCTTTGTTTGCTGTGGGAGGTCCTCTTGCAGGAGGATTTCTCATAAAAGCCTGTGTGTTTCAATAAAGATCATTCCTGATACACCCTTCATGAAGTCTAGGCTCATGTTTGGGGGATATTCTACTTGCTGGGAAGAAACACCTTGGAATTGCAGTTCCTCTCTCTTATTCCTCTACTCCCTGCTGCAGCTATAATCACTCCTACTCAGCTGTGGGGATAGAGAATCAAGACCGCAGTACCATAACCACTGCAGGTCATAACACTCATGATGTAGAGCTTTTTGCTTCGTGAAATTGCAGTGCATCAGCTCAGTGTTCCAGTGATCACAAATTGCTCATGACAGAAGGGCCCACTAAACATGGATATTTGGTGGGACACTGAGTTAATGATAGGGAGTACGAACAGGGTTTAGAATTTCCATTCCTATGCTACTAGCCAGTGACTAGCTGTGAATGGAAAATTTGAGCCCTGTACATAGGGTAAGGCTTATCTTATGAGGAGTTTAGAGCTAGGAATTGTTTAGAGGAAATTATAAAGCTTAATATACCAGTGATTGCTCTAGATAATCCCATTCAATTTGATACTGAGCCATGTGAGACCATGAATGAGCTGAGAGAGCTGGGGATTCTGAGGGGAGAACACTGGTGAATGGCTTATTGAAAATACCAGTATACGATGTAGCTTGCAGACCATGGTCAAAAAACTAAAAAAGTCTGCTTGCTCATTTTAACAAAGAGATCTTATGGTAAGAAACAGTATATCTGGGGACTTGGGGAAAAAAACTGAATATCACATCAGATGACATGACATGACCTGACATCACATGATATCAGATGACATCACATCATATGACATCACATTTCTAGGTACGTGTCACACATACTTTGCATTTTAAGACTCCATTAACATATAATATATATGACAAGACTTTATCATGGTTTTTCATTAAAGTATGGATTGTTGGGCATTCAAAGTCAACGAGAAGTGAAATCCAAAATGTTGGCCAAAATGACTCAAGAGGTTAATTTAATCCAGCAAGATGCTTTCATAAAGCATGGTTAATGGGTGATGATGGGTGGAGGACATAGGTATTTTAGACAGAGCTAGCAAACAACATGAAGTCAATTCACATACCGCAGTGGCTTTCACTGCAAGATTAGACACGTGTTTCTTTATATTGAATACAAAGAAAGAATGATATGAAAGAACTGGCTCTCAGGGTTCACATATTTTGGCATCAGTGGGGCATCGATGGAAGGGACAGAACTAATAAGAGTCTTTAGTCTCTGCTGAGAATTTATTTGGGAATTTTTCAAATCTGAAAGTGGACACAGAGCTCTTAGGATTTTCAATGAGCTAAACCACATAATTGTACCTTAATCCCTATTTTTATTCACAGCACGTACCAGTTTTACCCTCATTACTACACCATGGTGTGAACACTCAATACAAATAGAGTGTAGACAGCAGCATGACACGCATACACAGCACAGACAGTGCCAATGCCTGACTACTACACCATGACAGACCTACTGTCAGCACCCTCACATACTACTACACCATGACATGTATACACAGCAGAGGTACAGCACTGACAGACCTACAATCAGCACCCTCACACACTACTACACCGTGACATGTATACACAGCACAGGTAAAGCGCAGACAGAGCTAGTGTCAGCACCCTCACACACTACTACACCGTGACATGTATACACAGCACAGGTACAGTACTGGCAGACCTACTGTCAGCACCCTCACACACTACTACACCATGACATGTATACACAGCACAGGTACACAACTGACAGAGCTACTGTCAGCACCCTCACACACTACTACACCATGACATGTATACACAGCACAGGTACAGCTCTGACAGACCTACTGTCAGCACCCTCACACACTACTACACCGTGACATGTATACACAGCAAAGGTACAGCGCAGACAGAGCTACTGTCAGCACCCTCACACACTACTACACCATGACACGTATACACAGAACAGGTACAGCACTGACAGAGCTACTGTCAGCACCCTCACACACTACTACAGCATGACATGTATACACAGCACAGGTACAGCTCTGGCAGACTTACTGTCAGCACCCTCACACACTACTACACCATGACATGTATACACAGCACAGGTACAGCGCAGACACAGCTACTGTCAGCGCCCTCACACACTACTACAACATGACATGTATACACAGCACACGTACAGCACTGACAGACCTACAATCAGCACCCTCACACACTACTACACCGTGACATGTATAAACAGCACAGGTAAAGCGCAGACAGAGCTAGTGTCAGCACCCTCACACACTACTACACCGTGACATGTATACACAGCACAGGTACAGCACTGACAGACCTACTGTCAGCACCCTCACACACTACTACACCATGACATGTCTACACAGCACAGGTACAGCACTGACAGAGCTAGTGTCAGCACCCTCACACACTACTACACCATGACACGTATACACAGAACAGGTACAGCACTGACAGAGCTACTGTCAGCACCCTCACACACTACTACAGCATGACATGTATACACAGCACAGGTACAGCTCTGGCAGACTTACTGTCAGCACCCTCACACACTACTACACCATGACATGTATAAACAGCACAGGTAAAGCGCAGACAGAGCTAGTGTCAGCACCCTCACACACTACTACACCGTGACATGTCTACACAGCACAGGTACAGCACTGACAGAGCTAGTGACAGCACCCTCACACACTACTACACCGTGACATCTATACACAGCACAGGTACAGCACTGACAGAGCTACAGTCAGCACCCTCACACACTACTACACCGTGACATGTATACACAGCACAGGTACAGCACAGACAGAGCTAGTGTCAGCACCCTCACACACTACTACACCGTGACATGTATACACAGCACAGGTACAGCACAGACAGAGCTAGTGTCAGCACCCTCACACTACTACACCGTGACATGTATACACAGCACAGGTACAGCGCATACAGAGCTAGTGTCAGCACCCTCACACACTACTACACCGTGACATGTATACACAGCACAGGTACAGCGCAGACAGAGCTAGTGTCAGCACCCTCACACACTACTACACCGTGACATGTATACACAGCACAGGTACAGCGCAGACATTATGAATTAAATGTAATAATCCAAATAAAACGCTGTAAAAGATTGTTCTGTTCACTGAACAATGATTTTTTTGAGCTGACAATAACAGGAAGGTTTCGGGCACAATATGAGTCATCGATGTAGGTCGAAAAATCTCAGTAAGGTTTTTCATTAAAACTCTTTGTTTCAAAGAAACACCTGCATTTATCTCGAAACCCATCCCATCTTTTGTTTTCAAATGATTTATACTTGGCTTTGATCCCTGTTCTTGTAGCATTACCTCTTTAGTATAATTAACCCCTGCCAGACCTTACTTCTCACTTGTACTTATTGCTGTTTTTGATATCGGCATCGATTTAATCCTTTTGGAGAAGCTTTACTTTAATGGTCTACCGAAGTAATCATTAAAGTTTATGTAAATTTCTGCAGATAAATCGTTGGGATTTTTTTATTTAACAGATTGGAATCATTTCTGATGCTGATTAAACAAATTAAATTGAGGCCTTAATGTTTTTTACTGTGATTTAAATCAAGATAGTCTGTAATGTTGTAATTGTGTGATAAGTATTTCCTTGGTAATACGTACTGCTTGAGTGATGGTGCATTTGTAGGTGAATAGTGTGATTATTATTATTAGCAATTATAGAGCCAGTATTTCCCGTAGAGCTTTACAATTATAGAATGGGAATATCGGACAACAAGTAGAAGACAAACAAAAATGATCAGACATAAGAAGTGAAGAAGTGTTATGTGCTAGTGTAGTGAGTAGCTCTATGTGAGTAATGGACTCCATGAAAGTGAGTAACAATGTCCTTGATAAAGATTGTAGCCCATGGAGCAGCGCAGCTAGGTGGAATGGGCCTTGACAGGGCTAGGGGACAGGCATAGGAGGTGTTAATATTGGGGGTTTGGTTATAGAAAGTGGGGGTTGGGTTTTAGATTATGGGAGTACATATAGCGGCCATTTTAGATCAAGGGCCATCTTAATTAATCCTCACTTACCTATTTTGTCCCATCCTCACTCCCTTTAAGTAGGTTTTGGATCTCGTTTGGCCATGGCGGCGGAGGATGGATAAACAAGTTGGGGTATAGGTTGTTTGTCGAGATGTAATATAGTTTAGTTCGCTAAGAACTGTTAGGTTTGGTTAGATTTTGGTTGGTTCGAGCTCATCAGTAGCTCCGAACCGGGTGTGTGTAGGATGTATCTTGGTATACCCCTAAATTGTGGAATATGGTGGTAGGTTTGTGCTCCTCGGTAGCTCCGAACCTGGTGTGTGTAGGATGTATCTTGGTATACCCCTACATGTTGGAAAATGGTAAATCATGCCCACGGTGGCAATGGTTTAAGTGGGTAGATGTTATTTATGTTAATATATGTAAATATTGATGTTTATGGGGGTCACTGTCAGGGTTAAATTGTTAAAAGAGTTGGAGCTGTGATGTTATGTTAGATATGTTGACAATGCCCCTTAATATTTTATTTATATTGTAATTATTAATAAAGCTGTGATAATTTTCCCAAACATACGGTGTCCGAGTATCTTTGGGTTTTGGGGGTTGTTTATTCCGCATATGCGAAAAAGGCGACAATGCATATGTCATGAATCTACATAATTGAAGTTAAAACAATTTCGAGGATTTTTGGGTCTCAATACTCATCTGATATTCTACTGCAGTGCTTGCCAATTAGGATTCCGAGAACAAAACTTGGATTCCACCAAAGATTTTGCTGCATCCAACATGGCTTCCGCTCCCCATTGTTCCCATAAGTTGGAAACAGCAGAGTTCGCGAGAATGAGCTTGACATCGGCCATTTCAGACTCACTCAGTTGGTTGCGAGCATTGATACAGGACGGTCGTGAGTGTTCTTAGCTATTTTTGATGCTTCAATCAGTATTGTGCCCAATCTGGCTTCACATAGGAGGAAAATGATTTATTTTATTGAGCAGCCCTTTAGATTAGCACCTATTGTGGCGTCTGTGGAGGGGATTTCTTTATTTGTAGAGTTAGACTGCGCTGATTAAAAATGTGCTGCTGAAAATATTTGTATTTCACACGTTTACCCTAATTTACCTGGAAATGTTTTTGTTTTTGTTGTAAAAGTTCATTAGAAATTATTTTATTTTAAAAAAAAAATTCTGTTCTTCAGTACTACAATACAATCTGTAGAAAACAGTATATAACCCCCAAAAAACACCCACAAAAATTGCTTCCGCTGTAAAAGTACAAAAATCTGTTTACAATATTTTGAAGTTATACAACAGCGCATTTTACTCCAATGCTGACCCGAAAAGCTCACGTGCTTTACTTGCTTACTAAAAGCTGGGAACAAGACAGCATCATTTTTATACATTTACTATTTTTTAAAATCTGATCGATATTACTTCTGACAGTCAACTTGGACAAAAATATGAATGCGTTCTTATTCTTTCTTCTTTTTTGGGCGATACCCTGAGTTATTGCAGCTGACAATCAAAGTTCTGATGTTCTGGATTCCCGATTCACTCTGCAACCCAAACAAAGTATTTTGGGGTTGTTCCACGATTTTGGTGTCATTGTGTCAAAAGGTTCCACAGAAAACTACTGCTTTACTGTAATGGACATAGTAAGAGCAAGCCTTTTTCTCTGCGCTGGCTCCCTCTACTGTTCTGTATCTGCATTTTTCCATGAATTCTCTTTATTTTACTCTGCGTTTATCTGAATCTGCGGATTGTATAAGATCTTAAAATAAAATTGAAGGTAAAGGAAGTCAGAATGTCCTTTATAAAATACATACCAGTTCCTGTTATGAAAGGGACTATCACGATTATTTACAAAAATGAGAATGTCCAAGAATTGCAACTTTTAGGTCAAAGTAGCTAAACTTTTTAAATAGCAGAATTAACAAACTGTTTCCAAATTTGTAATTCCCAGTTTAGTAAATAACCCTTTTGATAGGCTTACAGATATGGTGATATAGCCCAGTTATGGCAAGCATCATAATTACCACTTCAAGTCTCACAGTCTCAAATTTAAGGTCGCTGACTGTGAAAATGACTATTGCGATCCTATGACTGCAGCAGCCAATCACATGCTTAGATTTTATAAGTAAACAGATTAGTTCCCAGCATTCTGTTGGGAAGAGAAGAAGAATTGCTCTTTTGAAATGTCTGATGATATTGAGTGCCTTCGGTGTTAGGAAGCCCAGGTAAACTATGTATCAGCAATTTTTAAAGTGTTACAGTATCGTTTAAAGAATATATGTGATGAGGCCATTTTGTATGTGATGAGGCCATTTTGAACGTGCACAGACTCTGCTGGTAGCTGGCATTTGGTAACTTCCAATCAGTCAATATGTGCTTGTTCCCCCATAGGTTACCTGCAAGCCTCTCGTGCCCTGATGATCTGTTCCCTTGTATTTGGGTTCTTCGCCTGTCTGTGCGGAATGATTGGGCTGCAATGCACAAAGGTTGCAGATGGAAACGCTGCACTAAAGGGCAAACTTGCTGTAACATCAGGGGCCATCTCTATATTTTCTGGTAAGTTTATATTAATCTAATTAATGGAGATAGCTCCTTCTGTCTGTGTCACTGTGTCACCCGGCAGGGGGAGGGACAGACTCACAGCTCCTTCTGTCTGTGTCACCCTGCAGGGGGAGGGACAGACTCATAGCTCCTTCTGTCTGTGTCACCGTGTCACCCTGCAGGGTGACACAGACAGAAGGAGCTATGAGTCTGTCCCTCCCCCCTGCAGGGTGACACGGTGACACAGACAGAAGGAGCTATGAGTCTGTCCCTCCCCCTGCAGGGTGACACAGTGACACAGACAGAAGGAGCTATGAGTCTGTCCCTCCCCCTGCGGGGTGACACAGTGACACAGACAGAAAGAGCTATAAGTCTGCCACTCCCCCTGCAGGGTGACACAGTGACACAGACGAGCTATGAGTCTGTCCCTCCCCCTGCAGGGTGACACGGTGACACAGACAGAAGGAGCTATGAGTCTGTCCCTCCCCCTGCAGGGTGACACAGTGACACAGACAGAAGGAGCTATGAGTCTGTCCCTCCCCCTGCAGGGTGATACAGTGACACAGACAGAAGGAGCTATGAGTCCGTCCCTCCCCCTGCAGGGTGACACAGACAGAAGGAGCTATGAGTCTGTCCCTCCCCCCTGCAGGGTGACACGGTGACACAGACAGAAGGAGCTACGAGGGACGGACTCATAGCTCCTTCTGTCTGTGTCACCCTGCAGGGGGAGGGACAGACTCATAGCTCCTTCTGTCTGTGTCACTGTGTCACCCTGCAGGGGGAGGGACAGACTCATAGCTCCTGCTGTCTGTGTCACCGTGTCACCCTGCAGGGGGAGGGACAGACTCATAGCTCGTCTGTGTCACTGTGTCACCCTGCAGGGGGAGTGGCAGACTTATAGCTCTTTCTGTCTGTGTCACTGTGTCACCCCGCAGGGGGAGGGACAGACTCATAGCTCCTTTTGTCTGTGTCACTGTGTCACCCTGCAGGGGGAGGGACAGACTCATAGCTCCTTCTGTTTGTGTCACTGTGTCACCCTGCAGGGGGAGGGACGGACTCATAGCTCCTTCTGTCTGTGTCACTGTGTATGTATGAGTTGTCTCTCAGAGTAATCGTGTTATTCTTTGCACTTTCCCAGGTATCTGTGCTGGCATTGCAGTATCCTGGTACGCTTTCAACATCACCAAGCAGTTCTTTGACCCACTTTACCCAGGAACCAAGTATGTATCAAGTGAACACATACTCCCCTAAATATACACCAATTACCAGCCTGGGTGGGTATAGGGCTGTCTCATTGTACACATAGCATGCTTAAAGATGTTTTTATGTCGCTTCAGGGGAACTAATGTTTAGCATCTGGGTGGGTGCAAATCAGCACCAACAAATGGAGTACCTGGCAGGAATCTTTAATGATCGGCCTTTCTCTGATAGACCGAAGATTGGCAGCCATCATCATGTAACACCTAGCCTTAGTGCCTTGTAGTGTCTATTGTGTTGGCTGTTAATCTGTGGTAGTTGTGGTTTAAAGAAAATAATATATTTCAAGATTTTAAAGGGCTCTCCCTATATGGTCTGCACCCACTGCTACTTGTCTTGCAGCCTGGGATCCAGAGGGATCGCAGAAACTAGATAAAACTGACACACATTTTTCAAATTATAGTATACAGCCTCGTAGACAATAAATGTTAAATTGTTGAATGTTTTTGGCACTTTTTTCCTTACATTGTCTTATCTTTCAATCTCCACTGCTTTCTTTCCTCCTTTCAAAGTCTCCATTTTGCCAACTTTATGTTCCAATCAAGGTGTCACCTTCTTCTTTATTGACAAACATCTTCTACCTGACACTTTCATCTTTTCAGTATTCAAAATATCCCAAAACACTTCGCCTTTCTCCGCACTCTCCAAATGTAGCAACTCCCACATCATCACCAGGAAAGCGAGGGAAAGCAATTTAAAAATTCACACTTTACACAGTTTATCCAAAAATACTGTAACCGCCAAGAAATGAAAAACGGGGATCATTTTAGATGACAATATGTATATTTACATTACCAAAAAAAAGGTGTGCTGTGCCTTTAAGACAATATAATTCAATAGTGACACTCACAATAACATAAAAGTGCTAAGCTACCAATAAATACTTGGACAGTGCCAAACGTCAAAAGTGCTGATAATATGTGCAAATCAGTGCTGTAAAGCTCACACCATAAGTGCCAATGCAAAAAAGTACAACACAAGTGTAAAGTATACTTACACTATACAGAAGTTCACAACTTGCACAAAACACATATATAAAAAAGAAAAAGAACAATATATAGTGTAATATTATCACAACAAGTGTGTGCATATATAAGTGCAATATCACTCTCAATCCAGGTAAGTATTCTCAGATTATAGATGAGCCTCTCCACCTGTAGTGGACCCAACAGATGACTAATCAGCCAAACAGCCGAAATCTTCAAGCAGTTTTTTCTTTTTCAAATACCGGTATTTGTTCTGTGCAAGTTGTGAACTTCTGTATAGTGTAAGTAAAGTGTTGTATATTCTACACTTTTCACGTGTGTTGCACTATTTTGCATTAGCACTTAGTGTGTGAGATTCACAGAACTGATTTGCACATATTATGAGCACTTTAATGTTTGAAGTTTGGCAGCATCTAAGTATTTATTGGTAGCTGAACACTTTTATGTGATTGTGAGTGTCACTCAATATTGTCTTAAAGGCACAGCACACTTTATTTGGTCATTTTTATTCTGTAGTGTTTTTTGAGCTATTACGCGGTTTAAGGTGCAGCTTTATACTATTATTATTTTATTGGAAAAAAATATTTTTTTTCTTAGCGCCATATTTTACTTGAATTTTTGGAATTTATTGCAAATACATATTGTATATATATTATATATATATGGTGCTGAGAGCCCATTCCTTTCCTGCTTTTTCCAACTACTGGTAGAAAGAGATAGTTCTAGTAAAAGCATTGATACTGTGCAGAACCCTCCAACTCTCAGACATCGGGTAGAGGACCCGAGAATTAGGAATACACAACATATCACGTAGGGATGGTTTACTGGCGCTGAGAGATTAGGGTATTATACACTATACAATAATTGAAGATAAATTAGAGTCACTACATGTTGTACATGAACTGTTACAAAGTAGATCTCCCTGCACCTGTGACACGATCTCTTTTATGCCAACAGATATGAGATCGGGCCGGCTCTCTACCTTGGCTGGTCAGGAGCTTTATTGGATGTTGTTGGAGGTGGACTTCTCTGCTGCTCGTACAAACAGTTTTCCAAACCAAAAGAGTAAGTTCTAAATTTAATTAACTTTCATTTCTATAGTATCCTCTGCCCTCTACATCTCCTTTACGCCACTCGTCCCAGCCCCAGTATTGAAAGGGCTAAAAAAAACTATTACCCGATTCCAGCATCAATCTTCCTCAGTGCTCAGTTGGCACTCCACCTCCTCTGATGTCATCCAATGGGAGGGCTAATGCACATGTACATGCACGGTGAATGCTGTGAGCACCTTAGACCCTCCCCATAGGAAAGCATTGCTTGAAGGCGCTGGATGTCCTCATACAGAGCAACCAAAAGTCACCTAGCCACCACTAGAGGCAGTCTTAGTCCAGAATGTAATCATTGCAGTTTCTGTAAAACAGCCATGATTTACATTGCAGGGTTAAGGGGGACAGGGACACTGCACCCAAACCACTTCAGTGAGCTGAAGTATTCTGGGTGCCTATAGTGTCCCTTTAAATGAATTACATGCATTTATTTAAAAAGGAGCCTGCAGTATATAATGATCCAACAGGGGGCCCTGTGCTCCATGGGTTGTATGTGGGCATAATGTTATAATAGGTTTAAGTCCTGAGGAGATAGCGCAGCTAAGTGGACATGTAGGAGTGTGGGGGTAGATGCATGGGATTGGCTGGGAAAGAGTGTGTGGGTGGGATTATGTTCTATGTAAGTTAGTGTGGGGGAGGTCTTACCTCAGTGCCACTTGGGATTCGGGCTAGCAAACAGCTTCCCTCCTGCCCGCCCTATTAGTATATTTAGTCACAGCTAGCCAGGGGCTATGTCCTTGCCAATTGAGTTTGAGTGGTTACGTTTAAGTATATGGAATGAGATGAACAAGCTTTAAGGTCTCAACCTCCCCTGCTTCAAACGGTTAACATTAGGTTGCCTGGATAAGGTCGGCTGATGGCGGGCATTGGAAAGATATGAATTTTATGACGAGGGGGGAGGTGAGAGGAAGTGGTGATTAGGAACCACTGTATGTTTATTGGCAAGGACGGTTGGCTCAGTGTATAACACTATGTGTTAATTTATGCTTATTTATGTCTAACGTTTTAGTTACAGAAAAAGAAGAGATTTAATAAAGAAAGTTATGGATGTGTTATGCAGTAATTTAGTTTGTAATAAATGCTGTGGCCTGTTTCATCCATACTAAGTGATCTGTCATTATTGGGGGGGGTTGAATGGGGTTAGTTTTGTTCTAGGCTGCATCACGATTCCCCACTACGTACATACATGTAGTCTGTGTAATTTGATCTGACTAAGAATGCTCGTATGTCACTAGTTAATAATGTTCCTCTTGTATTATCTTTACAGTAATTTCTCCTACAACTATCGCGCTCCCCAAGTGATGTCTTCCAGCAAGGCTACACCCCAAGCTGCCCTCCCACGATACGAGTCTAGCAATAGTATTTGTAAATATGGCAAGAATGCTTATGTGTAAAACTTGGAGACTAGAAGGACTGTGTGTGCTATGCAATGCCAATGGGTATCATCACGGCACTATCCCATTAGCCTCTGGAGCGGTCCATTACCATTTTCAGTCCTAAAACTTAGTGGCACTGAAGTTCTTCATTTGGAATACCATTCCCATGCGAAGAAAAACACAAGATTGTCAATGGGCCACAAACTTTTTCTAAAGGAACTTTTCATCCTATTCCACCAAAGTCCTACAGTCATGAAATAAATGTTATGATTTTTGAATTTTTTTTATATTTAACCTTTTTTATTTTTTTTTATTATAAAATAAAGCAATTTATTTCTTAAGCAATTTTCAATGGCAATCTGAGAAGACCTTTGCCCCTACTATGATATGTGATGCAAACAAATAATTCCACCTTCAGAATTTTTGTATCCCAAAAATGACGTTTAGATGATTGAAGTTATTTCTTCCTTCAAAAGTTAATCACTCAATCGTATAATTGCTAACAGAAGATTTTCAACCGAAATGACTTTTTTTTCTTTTTTAATAATTTTGTTTTGTAACTTTACAAAGGATATTCGCTTGAAAGTTTTGAGATTATAGATGCTTTCATTTGCAAGATGATGGATTGAAGGATTCTTCCAGCAGACACTGTACCCATGGACACGTTAATTGAGGAGGGAATAAGTTTTTTTTATAATAAGAACTAGATTAGAAAAAAAGTGAAAACCTTTTCAACGATGATGGCTCTCCTGCTAAAACAGCCGTTGTAGAAACTGTTTCTGAGACTTTTAGAAAATCAACCCATTTCCATTTGTTTGTTTAAAGCCTTGATCTGCTATCTTGAACATTTTCAATCCCAGTTTTATAGCTGAATAAAAGATAAAATACAATACAGACATTTTATAAACCGTGGTATTTTTTGGATGTAAAGACAGAGCAGCAGTTTTGGAATTGGATACTTGTTTTTGTTTTTTAATGATATATTGGATATGCCTGTCAGATGGTATTATAAATCTTTAAATGTACAATCATGCATGGGATTTGAACCACTGGAGCAACAGCCAGTCATACCTTGTACTGACGGCTGATATTTACGACTTGTATTACGAAGATCTGCAGTTTTATCCTATTTATAGTTAAATCCCCTTTCATAATATTGTAAAGTGCTACGGAATCTGTTGGCGCTATATAAATGGCAATAATAATAATAATATCACGAATAAATTATGTTCTTGTTCAAAAAATGTTTGTGACCATTCTAAACAATACAAATCTGTAGAATTCAACAAGGAACATTTGTCACAATCGAGTTTATTCACGACATGGCGAATTCGGCTGATCAAGAATCCACGCTAAATCGCAAAAATGTGTACGTAGCGGATTAGGATAATGTTTCCAAATCTGCTCTACCCTGAATGGTGAAAATTAGATTTTCTATGCAGTGTGGTGTTTAGTAAATAAATCACAATGTATGAAATATATTCTTATGCACGATCAGATCGTTGTAACCTCAAAAAAAACAATGAATGCAAAGTTCCAAGGTACTACAAATAAGCGTGTTCGATTAATTTTTTTCCTCTGGACTTTGTGTTATCATCAGCGGTGATTTGGATCATTAATGTAATATTATTTTATGATATAAGATTGATTGAGCATTTTACCATATTTAATAAATATTCACAAATATTTGAGCTATTATTGAGCTATTACTTAGCGCACCTCAGTTCTTAAACAGTTTACTAATAAACGCCGTTACCTTTACATTGTGTAAGGGATTTATGTGTCTGATATATTTGTATACGTGATATAGGAACACAATAACGGACTAATTCGGGTTTGTGAGCACTATTCTTGCAATGTGCTTTTGTGTGCTTTGTATAATTGCACGCAGATGAATCTTGGATATTGCCTATTATTTAGGATTGAAAATATATCATTCATATAAAATAATTGAAAGTGATGTTTCTGTGGTGAACACTACTAAAATTACCTAAATTTCTGTATCACTCCCCTGGCTATATGTTCCCTCTCCCCTCCAGAGAAGCCCAACAGGTTCATATCATCTGCCTATTCATACGTTATTCCCCGAACGGCAACCTACCTAAAGAGTCAGCAGCACTTCTATGAGTTCACCCTGGAACTCCAGCTCTGCCACACAGACCACCTTGTCCCGGTTAACTTGCCATGCAGTTTTTAGCCTTTTCCTGATACCCAGGAGACAGGGCCAGTGCAAGGTTTTTTGGGCACAGAGGCAAAGATGATTTTTAAGCCCTCCTCCCCCCCAAAAAAGCATCTTCACCTGTGTGCCTCTTAACCCCCCCCCCCCTTGTGTCTAATACCCTCTTTTAAATGTCTTACCCCCTTTATTATGCCCTATTTTCCCCATTGTGTGTATCTCTTACAACCCCCTTTGTGTGTCTTACTACCCACAGCCCCTTTGTGTCTCCCCTCTCCCAGCCCCTTTGTGTCTTTTTCTTTTCCCAGCTCCTTTGTGTGTTTCTCTTTAACCCCAGCCCGTGTGTCCTCCACCAGACCTTCTATGTCTCTTTTTCCTCTTCTCCAGCCCTCTGTGTCTCTTTCACCCCCAGTCACTTTGATTTTCCACCCCAGACCCTTTTGTGTGTCCCTTACATCCCCAACCCCATCTGTGTGTCTTTCTACCCCCTCACGCACCTCTGTGTGTCTTTCTCCCCACTGAGGCCCCCCTGTGTGCCACTCTCCCCTCCATGTCCCTTAGTTCTTCTCTCCCCTCCCCTCCCTTCCATGTTCCTTACTGGTGCTCTCCCCTTCCTTTCCCTTAGTGGTCCTCTCCATTCACTGTCATCTCCCCTCTCTTACCTGTCCCTTAGTGTTCCTCTGCCCTCCCCTCCATGTCCCTTAAGTGTTCCTCTCCCCTCCCTTCCTTTCCCCTTAGTGTTCCTCTCCCCCCCTCCCTTAGTGTTCCTCTTCCCTCCCCTCAATGTCCCTTAGTGTTCCTCTCCCCTCGTGTCCCTTAGTGGTTCTCTCCCCTCCCCATCCATTAGTGGTCCTCTCCCTTTTCTTCCCTGTCCCTTAGTGCTCCTCTCCCCTCCCCTCACCTCCATGTATCTTTTTGTTCCTCTCACTTCCCTTCCTTGTCCCTTAGTGTTCATATCTCCTCCCGCCCCTGTCCTTTAGTGTTTCCCCCCTCCCTTAGTAGTCCTCTTCCCTGTCCATTAGTGTCCCTTGTAGCAGGCCTGCTGACCACTCACCAGGTTGTCCTTGTTCAGCCACTTATAGTACGTAGAGACCTATTTCCCACTCAGTAACTGGACGAAACACAGTTCTGGGGGTACAACAACAGCTTTATTGGCCACACTCGGCTTTATACTTTTCCCCTGCATATGGTGGATCACATATAATGACAATGTCCCCTCCCAGGGTCCTCCTCCTCCCAGGGGTGGCATAACGGAACTGGAACCCCAATCCCTTTATCCCCTGTTCCCCCCCACTCGGTGTCCCCTCCGAGGGTCCTTCCCTCTCCCAGAGGTCTTATGACGGAAACGGAACTCCAGTACCCTTGATCCCCTGTTCCCGCCATACATCCTCAGGGTTTCCCACTTCCGGTGGGGTTTTTCATCCCATGAGCCTCTGAACTTGGGAGTCCCAGCGCGGGAAAACTTCCCACCTCTGTGACTCTTAGCCACAGAAAGCACGCCAAACCGCCATTGTCCCCAAGAGAGTGTCCTCACCAATCTCAGGGACCCCCAGAGCGGTTACTAACTCTGCTTGTGGGGTCCCTGGGTGAAACCAGGTGAGGGAAGTGCCTCCTTTCACCACACGAATGCTCCCCCTGGTCGCCACTCGTCTATATAAATGAGGTTTCTTGTTGGTCCCTGTTCAGTAGGTGAACGGAACTCGTTCGCATTGAGCCCTCTCGAACAGGGAGCAGGTAAAACACATGAATACAACAAAATATAGGAGAAAACACAGGAAAACATTTCCTAGCAATTCACGAACAGGTAGCGGTCCCACCACATCTCTCTCCCCTCCATGTCCCTTTGTGTCACACTGCCCTTCCTTCCCTGTCCCTTAGTGATCCTCTCCCCTCCCTGTCTTCCTCCCCCCCTTAGTGTTCCTTTTTCCTCACCTGTCCCTTAGTGTTTCTCTCCCCCCTCCCTTAGTGAACTTCTCCCCTCCCTGTCTCTTAGTGGCCCCCCATTCCCCTTAGTGTTCCTCCCCCCTCCTCTTGGTGTTCCTCTCTCCTCCCTTTTACTGGTCTCCCTCCACTGTCCATAGTGTTTCTCTCCTCCCTCTCTTAGTGTACCCACCCCCGATTGTTATTCTCTTCCCCCTCCCCTCCCCCCCTTAGTGGTCCACTCCAAGCTAGCCCTTAAGGTTCACCATAAGAGACATGGGGAGGATGAGACCCGCCCATTATTCATCTAACCTGCAAACCATCTCTCCTTTATTTGGCTCCCCACCAGCTGGCTTTTAGCTTGGTGGGGACACGTTCAGCCTAGTAGCCCTTAAGGTTCACCATAAGAGACAGGGGGAGGATGAGACCCGCCCATTATCTCCCTTATTCATTTAACCTGCAAACCATCTCTCCCTTATTTGACATGGCCCCGCCACAAAGCCAGCTGTTTTAAGCCTAAAATCAGGAGGGGGTCCCACCCAAACCACCCAAGGCCTGTTCCACCGCCTCCTGGATCGCCAGATAAAAGAGGTCTACTCTGACCTCAGTCAGATGCATCCCATCCTGTTGAAATAAATTCACTGCCTCCTTTCTCAAAGACCTAACGATGAATGGATATACCCCTAACCCCCACAACAAACTTCAAAACCTGCCTATTTAACTTTTTGCAGCAGCGCTCCAGCGCACTCTGGCTGTGGGCCTGTCGCAAATAGTTCCTAGCCACTACCTCTGACTAAATTATGCAAACATCAGGGAACAGGATCAATATCTGGGACAAGTCCCTTTTGACCATGTCCACCATGCCCCTGACTGGCACGGTCCGCAGGTCGTTGCCCCCCAAATGGATTAACAAACACACGGTGTCCCTAGCACGTAAGAGAACCTGACAAATTCAGGTAGGAGCTGGACCCACCTCACGCCTCTGGCGCCAAACCACCATACCTCCGCAGTCGAAGGCATGAAACTGAGAAACTCCCCCCCGGTTGGACTGCTGCACGCTTCTATGTCCAGTGTATGTAGCAGTGCCCGATCAACTAGACCCTGGGGAGGAAAAACAAAAAACATTTAGCTCAGGAGACAGACAGGACGCACATAAGAAACAAACCTCATGGATTCCCACCTCCCTATCCTCTGCACCTCTTGATCTGGCATACCCAGCCGAGAAGCCTCCGTCACGGCGCCAATTCGAAAAAAGTGCCCACCAAACTCTGTACCTCCAAGCCCAATGCAGCCAACCCTAAACAAGAAACCCTGACAAACTGAAAATGGGAGAGGAAGCTCCCATCCTCATGCACCAGCAGCGGGCCAGACAATGCAAGGTGAACCCTGCAAAAACACAGAAAATACAGGACCGAGCAGGTGGCCAACCAAGGGACCGCCGCCAGCTGAACCCACTTATTCTTCCCGAACACATCAGTCTTGGAGCGGCTAATCTTAAAGGAAACCTGGTCCCTAACATCAGAGAAAAGGATCCCCCCAATGGTCGACCTGCTCGGACACACCAACTCCCCAATCCTCATAGCCCCAAAGAATGCGTGGTCACTACTCTATCCTAATTCTTCTTGACCTTTCTGCAACTTTTGACACTGTTGATCATCAACAGCTTCTTCTCATCCTAGGTCTACAAAATATTGCTCTCTCCTGGTGCTCCTCCTACCTCTCCCAGTGCTCTTTCAGTGTTTCTTTCTCTGGCTCTGCTTCTTCTCCCCAACTCCTCTCTGTTGGTGTCCTCCAACACTGGACATAGAAGCGTGCAGCAGTCCAGCCGTGGGGGAGTTTCTCAGTTTCATGCCTTCGACTGCAGAGGTATGGTGGTTTGGTGCCAGAGGCGTGAGGTGGGTCCAGCTCCTACCTGAATTTGTCAGGCTCTCTTACGTGCTAGGGGCACCGTGTGTTTGTTAATCCATTTGGGGGGTAACGAACTGCAGACCGTGCCAGTCAGGGGCATGGTGGACATGGTCAAAAGGGACTTGTCCCAGATATTGATCCTGTTCCCTGATGTTTGGTGTTCAGTCCTTGGTCCCCTACTGTTCTCCATCTATACTGCCTCACTTGGTAAACCTTTGGCTTCCAATATCATTTCTATGCAGATGACACGCAAATCTATCTGTCCTCTCCTGATCTCCACATCCCTCTTAACTAGTGTCTCTGACTGCCTCTCTGCTATTTCTAACTGGATGGCTGCCCACTTCCTTAAACTCAACGTGACCAAAACTGAAATTCTGGTCTTTCCTCCCTCAAGTGTTGCTACTCCTGTGTCTCCCTCCCTCCAAGACAACGGTGCTAACATCAGCTCCACGACGCAGGCTCGCTGCCTAGGTGTTCTCTTTGACTCTGACCTCTCCTTCACACCTCATGTTCAATCTATTGCCAAATCCTGCCGCTTCCATCTCAAAAATATTGCACGCATCCGACCCTACTTAACGCCAGATGCCACTAAGGTGCTGGTCCATTCCACTGTCCTTTCTCGCCTTGACTACTGTAATCCACTTCTCAGTGGTCTTACGTGCTACCAACTTGCACCGTTACAGTCCATAATGAATGTGGCGGCAAGGTTAATCTTCCTGTCCGTGCCTCACCCTTCTGACAGTCCCTACATCTCTGACAGTCCCTAAATCTCTATATAATGTTGCACTCACCTATCCATTTTCTCTAATACACAAGTATGTCCCATCTAGGCCCTTACGCTCTGCTGCAGACTTATGTCTATCTTCTGTTTGTACTCCCACCT